TTAGGGAAAAGTGAAGCTGATACCAGAAGGTAATTAATTGCTCTCTACTTATGCATTTCTTAAATGTCGATAAATGCTTTTAAGTTCAGAACAATTAATTGAACTAGAAGCCTGCCTCTGATTAAAGACAGGCATTAATACCAGATTAGTCCTAAATACAGGAAAGGGATATTTCCTATGGAAATCCTGGTAGATCTTTCTGTAAGCAGTTTTCATTTACTTAGACAACTCCTAATAGTGCTACAAGAAATAAAATCTTGTAGCCCCAAAAGCAGGTTCAAAAAGTGTAGGATTTTCTGGTTATTTCAATTCTAAAATGTAAATAAGTAAAAAACCACTCTGTGACTGTGAATATATTTTATCAGTAAGTGGGCAAGTGTCAGATTAATGTCATTTGTTGCTGTGAAATCAATGAGAATTCTGTTAATGAAGAAGAAATGTTTCTTCAAACACCGCAAAGACTAAATATCTTTCCTCAGTTGATCATCAGAGGCCTTATCATGCTAAAGAGAAATAAAACTATTTAGGTGAGTAATCTAACCAAGTAAACAGGCCATGCAAATAGGAGAAATGTGGTGGCTGTAATATGGTAGGAGGCTCCATCTTCTTTGAGATTTTTTTTGTAGGCTCTGTCTTTTTTGAGATTTTCAGGTGTAATCTTGGCACACAAGACCTAAAGAAAACTTGCATGACACAGGTGCAGTACTGCTGGAAGAAAAATGCACTCAGCTGTGTTATTCCAAAATCCCTGTGCTACTCCCAGCAGTCTGTCCTGTCCTGGTTCTAGTTAAGAACACTGTTCCCATTGGTACTCCAGATGATGGAGTATTGCATTGCTAAATAAGGAGCTACAACCAATCTGTAAGAGCCTGTGAAGGTTTTAGAGCACAGGAATATCTTTAAAAATATCTTGACAGAGAGCAGAAATTATATAAAAAAGGTGACAACTTGGAGTTCAAAAATCATCTGCGTAAATATAGGAGTAGAAACTCTCAGCAGGGTGGTAGATCCACAGATGAGGTTGTAGGGGTCATACAAGGCCACAGTGAAGCATCAGTAAATGAATCTGCTGTGGCAAAAAATGCAAGAAGACATTGTGTAAGAGTACTGTGTGCCATAGGTAATTTTATGTTTGTGGTGGCTAAATAGGAAAGGTGTATTGAGGTTTGGCTGCCATGTTTCAAAGAAATTGTAATCCAGAGAAGGAGACTGAAAGTCTGCAAAACATCTGTGAGTAAGAATTAGACAGCATATGGCTGTTTTGTTTAGGGAAGGCTGAGAGAAAGCAAGAAAAAGTCTTCAAACAAGAATAGTGCAAACAAGAATAGCACAGGTAAAGCGTTCTCTGTACGTCACCACTCTAGGTGAGAGGAAGAAATGAGCATGCACTACAACAAGGAAGGTTTAGGTTAGACCTAACCTAATTAGTTATTAGGATCATAAACATAGATAGGTAATGGCATGGATGATTTAGACCAGACTCTGCCTCACCAGATGGAGTGTGAAGGAAAGTTTTATGATTCTGATGGGAAGTAGAAAGGTGAATTAGGAGACCACCAAAGGCCCTTTTCAGTTTCTTCCCAACATCTATGTAAACTGTGTTTTTATTTGATCAACAAATCAGTTCTAGCAAATTCTGAAAGGAACAGATTTAGGGATAATTTAAACTGTTTTACTCAGAGAAATATCATAATTGAAATTGCGAAAGAAAGACAGCACTTCGAGCAGCAAAGTATGTAAAAAGATACTTTGTAACACAAATCTGTTGCAGTAACAATTCTGTACCGTCCTAGTGGACTGATTTTAATTTCAGTGTGTCCTACCTAGAAACTGTGCAACAGCAGAACAGACTTTCACTCCTTTCCTCTTCCTTTATGCTCTGTTTGCAAGATAAAAGACTGATTGCAAGAAATAAAAGTTTAGAATTCAAGTCTTGCCTAGATTATTTTTAAGTAGTTAATAGATTTTCCTCTTGACAAGATTTATGACTGAAAATTTAAAACCAAAACAAAACAGAACAGAACACGCCCCCTCCCCCTCAAAAAAACCCCAAAACAACAACAAAAAACACACACAAAAAACAATCCCACAAACCAATGAACAAAGAAGAAAAAGAAAGACCACATTTAGGCAAAATACAAATGCCAAACCCCAAAATTGTCTGTTTTGTTTTAGGAGTGTTGCTAGAAGGGACTGTTAGCACTTTATTTCAGAAGTGCAAGACATTTTTTTGCACATACACTGCAGGACATGGCAATGTAACATTCTGTAGACCTAGTGAGGTTCCCTACAGAGACACAGGGTCACAAGAGAGGCCATGGCCTGCTGTGCAAAACCTGACGGAAGAAGTTCCTGCTTTGGAGTAGTTTGCTTTCCTCTGGATGTTGTGTATCTCTGCATTTTGGGGGGGTGGGGGGTGGTATAGGAGACTTTTCTGTCTGGACAATCTACAAACTAGTATTCAAGTTGAAATTTGAGCACAAGTTTAACAAACTGGGTAATAGACCCAGCAAAAGCAGAGCACAAAACACCACTGCACCAAAGGGTACCTGCCTTGGAATAACTTACAAGCTGCATCTTCTCATACTTCATGAGGTCTTTCTTTCCTTTGCTGTTTGTACAGCGCATTGCTGCAAAACAAAGCAAACATTCTTTCAGTGCCATTATTTGAACTAAAATGCAAGTTATCTGTAGTTGTATCATATGGAATATATGTTTTTAAAATTCAATAAAAGTCATACTATTCTTTATACTATTGTCAGAAAATATATGGTAGTAGGCTTGTACAGTATTGAAGCCAACAGCATGAGAAACAGTTAAAAGTACTGATGCATAGGAAGTTGCTGTCCTGCTGCAAAAAAGTGGAAGTGTCAGTTCCGACATGGTACTGTGCTTAATGAAACCATTATTAAAATGGGCTGGTCTCATACCATACCACTTTGGCTATTGAGATAAACCTCCTTCAAAGACATCTGAGTTTAAGTGACCATATCAACTCTGTAGTAGGAGGAAGTAACCAATGAGAAATATTTTTTCATCCTAAACTGCTGAGCATATCTGTGGTGCATAGAAAGTCTTCACTGCATTTGTTTTATCACTCAGAAAGGCTAAAATTGTGTCCCAGCCAGAAGAGCTTTTGAGACAGTAGGTGGTTAGCAGCAGAAGCCAGAGTCTGCTTGCATTTCCCTATGAGTGCTATTGTGCTACACTGAGATGCTCAGCAATACCACTGCTACATAGATACATAGAGGCATAACACCAGTGTGAAGATGGCAAGTGAGCAGTATCAGAGGGGCATATGGGTTAAATGAGGAGAGGGCAACTTTTAAGTTATCCCAGAAGTTCTCATGTTTCCAGTTCTTTTGCCCACAGCTGCAGAGCAATGCTTTCTAACCTCAGAATCCAAACTGTCATAGCTTCAGTATTCTAGTCTCAGAGTACTGTATCTTGGAGAGATCATTTTTGCTGTGTGATCCTATGACTGGTGAGCCATAAGGTCTGCTGCATCACTAGGTATCTGTTTCTGGAATGTCCACAGTTACCAGGGATCCTTTAATTAGATTTGAGCCGCCTGTTCTAGCTTGAGCCCAGTCTGGTCTCTAGATAAATCTATTTGACCTGAAAACTTCTGCATTTTGGTCTGCTGCACCCAAAGTGTGTTTGCTGTCCAAGTTCTCTTTTTCACTTTCAAGGACATTGAAATGCCAGCAGTTCTGTAACTCTGTGGTTAGAGCTAGAACCCCTTTTCAGGGCTGTGCCTATCAATCTAGCTAAGGATGCAATTTCTTTTCTGTGGTCTAGCCAAGCATGACAGTAGGGATGGAATGATCACCACTGCCTCTGCACTTTTTATCTTACTCATCACTTGAAGCTTAGATGGATGGAGTCTGGTCATTTCATCCTGGTGAAAAATGTGTGGGCTGGCAGAATCCTTAATTATACAGACTGCTTTCTATTTCTGGATACACCGGATTTAATTTTTTTATTATAGTAGCAATTAAGGACCTGCGTACAGTCTCTATCCTGCATATATTTGCTGAGCTGCCCTGCCTTTCTGCCCCATCACCCTGAGAGTTTTTTCAGAAGATGAAATTCTTTCCCTCCCACTAGAAAAACAGACCTAATAACCACTGACAATGGTTTATATGTTGGTAAGACAGGGGGAGAAGTTATCTTGATTAAGCACTAAGGTGTGGGTCGACATGCAGAGACTGTCCATCAATTCCTCGCTCATCATTTGTGATGTGTTGTAAAAAACAGAGCACATTCCTCGCATAGGTGGGGGGAAAGAAGGCTGTAAACTTGTGGATTCTAGCAACAGGAACAAGGTTCCTACTCCTATCTACAGATCTGCACCTACAAAGTACTGAGTTCCCTGGCAGCAGGATCCAGGAGTTTGGTCCAGGAAAACAGTTGCACCAGTTAAGCCTGAACCTGCAACACCACCAGGTGGAACATGCAAGTGAGAGCAGGGGCAGACTCTGCTATGGGGAAGAAGGTCCCCATAGGCTGACCTCACCTACTGGCAAAGGGCATTTTCTTCTTGCTGGGGCTTGTATCTCAAATGCTGAAGGAATACTTGTGGGGCTATTATCCTTTGCTACTCTTCCTCATGGGCAGCAACGATATTGGCCAGGGGAAGCTGCGAACATATTAGGCCTAACTCTATGGCTCTGGTAGTGAGGGTCAAGGACATGGTGGGCCAGGTCATTTTCTGGTCGATCCTGCCAGAGAAAGGAAAGACAGGTTTTGAGGAGTGGATAGACATTGCAGATCGTCAGCTAGCATCATGCAGCTGGCATCAATAACAGGGTGTGCTGGTTTGACCAAGACACAGGGACCTGGATTTTATGGTTATAAGGTCCTATCTGAGTGTCAACAACTACTAGGAACAAATTGTGTGTTTCTGACACAGGGGAGCTAAAGCAGCTCTGCCATATAACTGGCAAGCATGGTAAGGAGAGCTGCAAATTAGGAATGACAAAACAAGAGGGAGGGAGATGACGGCCTACGGTCAAGTAAGGAAGTGGTGTGGGATGAGGTGTGATAACAGAACAGGGTGAAAGAGGTCAACTGAAGTGAATACACAGCAGTGAGAGAGTGCCAACTATGGCATTATGAAAAAACTCCCATATCTTTTTTCTGGGACATCATCTCAACCTGGTGCCTTATCTGGCATGCTTGTACATACCACGGAGAATCTACAGAGGGGATTAGAGGTCTGAAGGCAGTTGCAGAGCTACAATATCTCATTAGGATCACCATAATGTCATGGCATAGTTCACACATGAGGCAGTGCAGCTGATGGATGCAGGATACAGGCAGCTTAGTGAGGACTGGGAGGGAGGAGAAGAACTGACCTTTTTTGAGAGAGCAGCGGCAATGCATGGAGCTCTGCCTTGGGAAAGGTAGGATCTGGTTGAGAGCCTGTGGATCAGGAAAAATATCTTGCTGAAATGAAACTTAATAAAATTAATGAAATTAATAAACTTGGAAGTAAACTCCGTATGTTGTCTATGATGAAGAGTTTCATTTGGAGGAGGTTTATTGTGTGGAAGAATTCTCATGCTGTCACAAGATGTTCAGAGTGGTGCTCATGACCTTTTACAATGCACCTCATGAACAATACAAACCGTAGTCCGTCTTTCCCAGGGCATCTACAATTTCCAGCTGGTGATGCCTGTTCTTGATCTCCATGAGTACAACCTCAGTTGGAAATGTTCCTCACATGCTTCTCATCTAAAACTAGAGCACTGATTTTAGTTCCATACCCACTGTTACACAGACATATCATATCAGACATATCTCATATCAGACCTACTATTTTGGCTGCTTGAAAATTAACTTTTGATAGCAACAGGGTGAAGTCACAAAAACATATACTGAATGTGTAAATTTTAAATTCTACCACATCATCGGAAAAACACTAAATAATACATTCTCTTTCAGACACACACCCGTACTGTTTATATAAAACCTGATAACACCAGTCAGAAAGCCAACAGGACATCATTTTAAGGAAGATTTTTTCATACATGTTCTCACATGTTTGGAAGAGGCAGAGAGAAGAGACGAGTGAGCTTCATGTTGTACCTACACATTTCAGTTTCTATTTATAGTCAAGACTCACAGCTTGGTGAAAATCACATTTTCCAATTTCTTAAGGGCAAACTGCCTGTAGCATTCTCTAAGGAACTTTCTTCTCTTTTATTTCTTTTTTCTTTCCTCTCTATAATATTTAAAAGAGGGCTTGGGGTTGCATTTTATTTATCACAGCACTGGTGCTATCAAATGCAAACTGTTGCCTATGACTGTTCTACTGTGTTGAGAAAAGTAACTTCTATGCCACAGATATTACAAATTTTAGAGAGCTGGCTCTCTGCCAGTAATCTGAGTCTGGCTCTATTCAATATGCCATGGAAAGATTTGCTAGGGCAGAAGTATTAGTTTTTAGCATACAAATGTGAAGTTTAGGCTTACAGGGAAATAGCACTTTTAAAAGTCACCAGAAACTGCTTTGATACCAGAACTGAGAATCAAGACTGATGACTAATTAGCAGAACAACTCTTGCCATAGGCAATAATCAACAGAACAAAGGTAAAGCACCTGAAAGGGTTTGCTTCTGTATTTTACTTTCTTTTCATTTATCCCTGTTATCCCTAGGATGCTAAATGAGGCTTGAAGTACATCTAGTTTTCCTGTAACTACATGAAGGAAATGTTTTCATTCTTAATAAAACCCAAAAGCACAGTAGAATGTTATGATTTCACTTAGTAAAAAGATCTAGTTATGAGAGAGACAAGAAAGTTCAAGTCAAATTCTAGAGACATCGGCAAAGAAATTTGTCAAAGATGCAAATAAGGCAAATTAGGTCATATCTGTTCAAGCCCAATGTGCCCAAATTCTTAAAATATTTTGGTTTCTGATGTTTGCAAAATAAATAGGTATAGTATATGTTTTTCCTAGATAGTGCAACCATAAAACCAAGTTATTTTGTTGATTTATCTTTAAATAAACATTTTGGAATAAAAATTGTGAATTTTGAACATATTAGGTCATGATGAAACATTTAGAATATATGTGGCTATGAAACACATTCTGTTTCATGACAAACAATCTACAGAAATAAAAACGGTCAGTTCATCACAGACAATAATAAAAAGCAAGCTACTGGAGGTATAGGTTTATACTTCTTATGGAAGATCTCTACTTAATGGGCATAACAATTTTAATGTATGAAAAAAGGGACCATTACAAGACAAACTAGAAATTAAAAAAAGGAAAAGAGGACCTGTGAGCCTTCTTGAGAAACTGGGAGAGCTGGCATACTCCTTCTTTGGTTCTGTCAGCTGCCATGTTTCCAGGGAAATGTGACTCTACACCCTCTGTGTGTTGTGGCACCTTTTCAGCCAAGTAAATAATCAATGGGATTCAACTGCAGCTGTTCTCAAGTCTAACTTATTTCTTTGACTTTGATACAGATGTATTCTGAAGTGTTGGTTATTGTGCAGATAATATTATTTCTTCTTTTAAATAATTTGATTTTGCTACTTATGTAATCTTTTAAAAATGTTTGTTTCAATTGTAAACATTTGCTTATCAAAGGAGTTAACCTCTGTTAGCATACCAACCTTACTAATCTGCTATTGTAGACAGTGCCACCTAATTAGTAATCAGGGGAACATGGTTAATTTTAATACATCAAACACTAACTGTCAAACTATTATATATCTATATCATCATTTAGAACTAAAAGCTATAAATACCTTCCTTTTGTGTAATGCTCCCACTGGCAGCATTTTGCTTATTTTGAGATTATAGTATGCCTGAAACTTCTTTGTATTGTGAAAATTTACTAAAGAAATTATTTGACTGATGTTCAAATAACCATCTCATACCAAGGACCAGTTGGTCTCAAAGCATGCTATTTTAAAACCAATAAAAGAAATATCTATGCCCAGAAGTCCTTAAAATAAGACACGGAATCTTCCTTTTGTCTACCTGACACTGATGATGTGCGATATGCCCTACATTTTGGCTGTGGCTTTGTCCCTGCTAAGAGAAGTGCCACACTGATTTTGTAAAAATGCTCTCTTGCTGGTTTGACAATAGTGGAATTTACAGAGTCTGGGAGCTCTGCTTCCCCAGCATTTTCCACACCTAACCCAGCAACAGTCCAGCTGAGTGAGTTAGGCCGGTGGAAATCTTTCACAAAACAAAATGCTACTCTTCCTGCTTGTGTCCCCATCCACCCCAAATACCCCTATCTCCCTACCTACCCAAACTCATGGTGAGGTTAGAGAAAAATCAGTGAAAAAAAAACAAAAACAAAAGGATGAAGAAGAGACCTTTTATTGTTATGGGATAATACAGGTTGCCTCAGTCCTGCTGATCATAATGTTTTTAATAGAAAAAGGTTGAACTTCAGTTTAAAACAGAGAATGCCATTTCTGCTCTATAACAGAAGATAACTTCTGGTGTGTTTGGGTAAGAAAAAGAAAAGGTGTGTAAAATACGAGAGAAAACAAGCAGAAGGAGCTCGGTGTCCAAGCCCTCCCGGGCCAGGTACCAAGCTGACCGTAGGGGACGCCTGGAACGCTCTGTCGGAGGCACCCCCGCGCATCCCCCGCGTGTCCGGGGCGGGCGGGGCGCGGCGCGGCGCGGGGCGGGGCGGAGCGGGCCCGGTCCGCCACCGGCAGGGGGCGGGTGCGCCCTCCGCGCCTTCCTCCGGCTGCGCGGCGGCGGCGGCTCCGCTCGGTTCCTGCTCGGGCCGGGGCAGCCTTCGCGGCGCGGCCGCCGAGGGGACGCTGCGTGACGAGTCCGCGCCCTACAGCCCCGGTAAGTGCTCGCGATCTCCGCGGGGAGAGGCCCCTGCCCGTCTCCCGCCGGGCATCCCGCCGCCGGCTCCGCCACCCGGGCGCGCATCGCTCTCCTCTGCGCGGGAGAGCCGCTGGCTGCCAGCCCCTGCCTTCGCTGCTGGCTTTCCCCGGCGGTTCCCCTTCCCCGGGCCGCTTGGCCCTTCCCCCATCCCCTCCCGACCCGGGAAGGCTGAGGTGGGCCGGGGCCGCGGGCCAGAGCCGGGCGGGGCGCTGGACGGGGGTGTCCGTCCCGTCCTCCGCTCCTCCGCCGTCCCGGGCCGGCGAGGGGGCCAGGGCCGGGCTGGAGGCGGCGGGGAAGAGAACGAGCTCTCGGAGCCGCTGGCGGTGCCCGCGCAGGAGGAGGAGGAGGCACCGGGTGGTGGCGGTCGGGCCGACAGGACGCCCCGGTCCAGAGAAATGAGTGAAACGCTGGCAGCATGGCAGCCCCTTCCTGCTGAAACAAAGTCAGCTCGGTGGCGGTGTTGCCTTGCCTTGCTCTGTGCAGTACGGGGTCGTGGGCGCTGTTGGCTCATGGGTTGTAGGGCTCAACACTTGTTTAACTAAAATGCTTAATGCATCGTTGCAGAGAGCAGCCGTGAAGTCCTAAGGAACTTAAACGTGTTGTTTGCAAAGAGATTCTTCTTGAAGCATCCTTTGTGCCTTTGGTTACTGACCTCTAAGTTGCTGAAGTAGGAAAACATATAGAAATTATTTATTTTTCCCTCTTAGGTAAATGCCACCATATGTTAAATCACGTGTTTGGCTGAGCCACTAAGGGGCTATGTAACTAATCTGATTTGTTTATCTTCCCATTTTTCTCACTTTTAAAAGTGGTTAAACGTCAACGTAGTAACTCCAGACACGGGTGAAGATCTCTGCATATGCCAGGTATTTTAAATATTCTGCGTGGCCTATTATGCCTCACAGACTTGGAGCCCATGGTCGCTCTTTGCTGATGAATGCAGCTGACTATTTCTCTCTTTTAACAAAGTATTTATTTATAATAATTGGAGAGTTATTTAGAAAAAGTATCAAAACCACAAACCCCCACCAGAAATGGCTACTTAATAACTGTCATGTTTTGTTTTGTTTTTTTAAAGCTTTCGAAACTTCTCAAGGTAGGAGTATCTTCATTAGCATATATTTCCCCTCAGGGTTTCTTTTAAGCATGAAGAAATCTTTTTTAACTGATGATTTACATAGTTGTTTGTGCGGCAAAGCAAGTTTTGTGACTTGCTGTAAGCCTTCAGGAAGGCTCTTCACGAGCTAATAGCTTGCCATTGTCATGTAATAACATCTAATCACTTCAGGATGGAGGAAGCACCTGTTTGTTGCAGGCATTGCTTCCATCCCTTTGCAAAAGTCCTGACCACTTCACCCAGTAAGAGTGCGGAGAAAACAGATAATAATGGTTGCTTCGCCGAACCGCTAGTTCCTGCTCAGCCTCTGTAAGCAGCCCGAGTGCTTCAGGGCATATGTGCTGTATATAAAATGGTTTGGGTAAGAAGGACCCTTAAAGACAATCTATTTCCAACCCCCCTGCCATGGCCAGGGCACCTTCCATTAGACCAGGCTGCTTTAAAGCCCCATCCAAACCTGGCCTTGAGTGCTTCCAGGGATGGATTACCTGCCACCTATCTGGCAAACTTGTGTCAGTGTCTAATCAGCATCCGAATACCAACCTCTGAGGCACACTGCTCTAGCCCTTTGGACACTGGGCCACTGACTACAGCTCTTTGAGTGCAACCATCCAGTGGCCACCCACGTTTAATGAATACTATTAGTGTTTATAGAAGGGAGGGATGATGTACACAGAGTTTAACATTTTAGTGGAACTTTGGAAAATTAATATTTAAAAAGTGAATTCCTGAATGTTTAGTTTCCAGGTTTTTGGGGACAATACTAACATGCATGAAACAGATTTTAATTTTTTTTAATAAAATCATAAGATGGATTGATGCTATGCAAAAATACCTGTCTACTTACAGATTATATTGCAGCTGGAAGATTAGGTATCCATAAAATAAATCCACAGCAGGCACAGAGAACTTGTTCTTGAAGATTTAAATTGATCAAAGAGAATTTGTTATTCAAATAGAACTTAGGCTCTGATTTTTAAGCTTGTAGTTCCAGTGAAGTCAGGGGATTGACATATGAGTAATGGCTGCAGGTCTTTCTAGTTATATCGGTAATCAGTATGTCCATGAGTCATTATATAAGTCATATGTATGTTCAGTTCTCAGTTTTTCACTAAAATTTGCTGAGACTGTGTAGGACTTGAGGCATAATTATTGTAAACTCTATGTTTTACCTGCCAGTGGCCAGCTGCATTAGTCCTATGACAATTGTTTTGCTGTCAACAGTACTGGAATTATTGTAATTGTTTTCAGTTTAGAAGGATCTGTCTGAGAAGTCTCACATTGGTCTGAAACCAAGATTATACACAGATTCTCAGAAAAAATGTAATTTGCATTAGCATCAGAAATCTGATAGTCTTGCAGTGAGATCATGACATGAGTGAGCAAAGCTAGCAGCCCAATGCTGCTGCACTTTGTCTCTAAACACTCTTGAAAGCTGTCTTCCAATCTGTTGTAAGTTATATTCTCTTTTACTACATTAAGTTTCCTTAACGAGCAGAATCATGTGAGCTGGAGCAGCCTGGCAGGTGAGCTCACCTATTTCCTCAATTCTCATGCTTCCTAATACTGTATGTGCCTGAGGTTTTGTAGCACGAGGACACAATAGAAGGGTAATGAGGAAGTAACTTTAAACTGGTATTGCTGCTTGAAATCTCATTTCCTAGTATTTCTTAGATTAAACATCTGTAACCTATAAATAGGTGCTGCTGGATTCCTGCTTCATCATCTGAAATTCTGTCTTACCATGACTCCAAGCATAGGCTTCCCATACTTTTGTTAAGAGTATATTCATCCTGAGAGGACTTTAGGAATTTTTTTTGTTAAAATAAATAGACAAATATTTTTCTGGGTAATTTGTAACTCTAATTCCACTCTGTATTTTTTTCCATCTGCCTGCTTCTTGGTGTTATCCACAAATTTAAAATCTTAGCCTTCTCCAGTAGTTCATTGATGTTTATAATAAGTGGTGGATGACTGTATTAAATGGTATTTCACCCAAGGTTCCTGAAATTCAATCACACTGAAGTTTTCACAGGGCATTAACAATAGTTACTCTTTTGGAATTGTTCAACTATTTTTGCTCCCTGTATACAGTATTTTTATAATACAAAAATAGTTTGTATCTTAATTTGCACACTGAGCTGCACTGTAGCCTTTTCCAGCCTTGGCCTCGCATGTCCTCAGTGCTAAGAGAATGTGAAACAGTCTTCGTGGAAGAGGAGAAACTTTGTAAGACTCTCAGGACAGAGGGAGCTGCTGGAGTAAACTTTGCCCTGCACTTGATATGACTGTTGAGTCAGTAATAGTGGCAGAAAGTTGCACAATATGTTTATATGTACAAACACGTGCTAGTTCTCCTCACAGTCCAGCTAAAACCTTAACATGGAAATACGTTACAGTCTCCCTCTATTCATAAGACTTGCTTTCTTGTGACTGGCTGGCTTCCTTCTCTTCTCCCACCCTCTCTCCAGTTGTCTTTTGTCTGAGAAGAAAGTAATCACCTCCTAGTAGCAAAGGTTTTTTATTTTCTTTTTTATTTTGATCTGTTTTGGTATCACCAGTTAGTTGAGTAATCATTTCACAAATGTTTAAGCTCGTGTTTGTTAGTACTGCTGCTGCTGGAAAAGCAGTGACCTGCTCCCAGACACTTAATTCTGCTTTTGGATCAGCCTTGATACTCTTGCACTTTGTAGTGGAGGTGGTTGATGAAACTGCCATGGCTGCCTGCGTGATTGCTGGTCAGCTGAGTAACAGTGACACGTGAATGGTTTTGGAACTGCATTTGAGTGGATTCAGGCTTATTAAAGGAGTTCTTGTAATAATTAGATAATTTCCCTTAGAACAGCATGATCCAGAGGGGATTGCATTGGGAGTTGTTAGAGTATGCAGTGGTTGCATATCAGCATATCTGTGTCAGCTGTGCATAGAGTCTCAGTGGTACGGTCGCTGTAATAGGCACCTTTCTGTCACTGAGGGATGCTGTTCCTCAAAGGAGTTTATATGTTCCTAATGTGGTAAATTTCTACATAGGTAATGACATACAGTGAATTGCTATGCAGCATAATTTTAGATTTTCCCACTTATGATGATGTTTAGATTATAACATCTCAAAAGATAGAAAATATCTGTGTTGGATTTTAGTTAGTGGGTGTACACCAGTTGTTAACTAAATATTATGTAAATATATAATATATAAAAAGAACATATTGTCCCTAGATTTTTTTTTCTGCGAAATTATTCCTCACAGATATGGCTTATGGTTTTGGTAGTGGTTGCTGTAAGATTACACCAAGCCAAGATGTAGGTTGTCAATCTTTTGTTCTGATATCTTCATGCTCAGAAACCTAGAAACTACAGGTTTAGGGGCTGGTTTGTGTGTTTTCAGTAGGAAGAAGTGAGACACTGTAGAGCTGTTAAGAATCATGTCGCTGACTGACTTCCTCTCCATTTTCAAGCATCTTTAACCTCATCACTCACAAATGATGGCCTGTCCAGTGCTAATATGGACCAGCAGTAATGACTTGCCTGGACTGCAGAAGCACTTTGGTTCTGGGTGCCTCATGCACATGGGGGTGATCAGGCACCAGCAGCAGTCCCATATATGCAGTGTGATCCCATTGGCAGTATCCTGTAGGCATAGCATGGCCCTTCTGTGTGCTGAGCCTGCTGCTGCTGCCCTTCTTCCAGAGCTGATGTGCAGCGCCTGTCTCTGCTGGGTGTTCTGCTCAGCCAGTGACATGCACTTTTAATCCTGCAAAGGGCCAAAACCTATACAAATGCTACCTCACATGGGAGATAAGCAGATGAAAAGGGGCTGTGCAGTGGAGCATGGATTTCAGTGTCCCTTAGAACAAGAGGAACTAGAGATACCAACAATGCTGTGAGCAGTGACTGTCCCTGGGGAGTACTTTCCCGTTTCCTGATGAGATCAGCGTGCTACTGAGCAAAGGTTAAAATTCCTCTCCAACGTGCAGCCTCAGATCATGCTGAGCTTTTGTTAAAGAAACTTAAATGCTTGGTAGGTACAATAGATTGGGTTTTATTTCCAACAGAGTATGGAAATGTCCCTTGTTACTATCAGTTGTCTCAATCCTCTCTGCCTTGCAAAGTATATACAAATTCCATGGCTTGCTATGTTTGTAGTCTTGGTATGCATCTCTGGGATGAAGTTGGTGTGGTGGTCTGTGCAGCAAATGAATCTAATTCAAAGGATGATCTTCTCATTCTTACCCCTTAAAGCTACTATCTAGAGTCTTATTGTGATTGGAGAGAAGTGTGGAGGAGCTGATTGGTTTTTCTGCAATAAACCTGGAACTGTAGAGAAAGTATTTGTAATGCTCCTTTCCTCTTCTTGCTTGCTTGATTTATTCAAAATGGGTCTCTATGTGAAAGGATGTTGCATAACCATACCATCAAGTAAATTTATGTGGTGGTCCTATGTGATTTTATTAAGTCCTCAGTACATGAGAGACATGGGAGCTCCTGGAAGCAGGTCCAGCAGTGATGGTTAAGGCATGGAGTGTTTTTCTCTCAAGGAAAGGCTGAGAGAACTGGGCCTGTTAAGCCTTGAGAAGAGATGACTGAGAGGGGACCTCATCAATGTCTGTCAGTATCTGAAGGAGGGGTGCCAAGAGGATGGAGCCAGGCTCTGCTTGGTGGGGCTGAGCAATAGGAGAAGAGGCAAAGGGCAGAGACTGATGCATGGGAAGTTCCACCTGAATATGAGGAAGAACTTCTTTACTGTGCAGTGACTATGCACTGGAACAGGTTGCCCACAAAGGCCGTGGAGTCTCCCTCACTGGAGATATTCAAGACCTACCTGGATGCAATGCTTGTGCTCTGGGATGACCCTGCTTGAGCAGGGAGGGTGGACCAGAGGATCCACTGGGGTCCTTTCCAACCTGAGCCATTCTGTGAAGTCACAGTAATGTTGTACTTTATTATTATTTATTGTTCTTCAGGCACATATCCTTTGGTATGATAGTTCTGTTGAGAATTTCTCTGTAGCAGGGCAGAATAATATTGCTTGATGGTGATGCAATATTCTAATGAGAGGATTGGTATTTTTATTGATGTGAATGGTCTTATATATTTGAAACATCTACTAGATCCTGGCAACACCTTCAAGTGAGACCTAGTTATCCCACAGATTAATGTTGCACAGCTTTTTTTACTTCCTATTGTGGAAAAACTGAACAGACTTTGGTGTCTTATGAAATCAAGGTCCTAATTTGTTTCTTAAAAATATTACGGAAGACAAAAAATTAATTTTGAACTCTTGAAGAAGTGGTAACTACAGCAGTGTTTCAGTTACAAAATAATTCGAGGTACTTCATTCTCTTAAATGTTTATTGTGAAATTTATGTAGTTTGCTGTGATGAAGTGGGGAAGTAAGTTGATGAATGAAGTTCAGCAATTTATCCTTGATGATCTGAACTTCAATATGTGATTTTATCCAACCCCATAAAATACAGAGCTAAGATTCTCTTCAATAGGTATGTCAGCAGCAATGGTATGATTTACTTTATCGCATTTAAATAGCGTGGGTTTTAGGGACCATAAATCACATTCTTAACTATATGGACCAGTAAATTTTTGTAATAATGGAGGAGAGCTTCGAAGCATGGATTGAGTGATTATAAGACAAAACATTTTTTGTTGTTAATTGATTGTGTTGCTTTTGTTTTCCGTGGATTGGTTTGGTTTTGTCGTTTTAATTGCACAAGGAATGTGGGTTGAATTTCATTCTCTTTGGGAAGAAAGAATGCCTCAGTACTTATATCTCAGCTTCTCAGGATTCAGAAGAATTTTTCAGTGTTTGAGACTGGCTAGTTTGTGTGTTGCCTAAGGTGAAAGCACTGGCTTGATGCCACTAGCAAAAGCTTGCATGGTCAGAGATTTGACATGTTATTTGGGAAGGGTTTGTTTTGCACATCAAGCTCCAAAACACTCCAGCACAATACTGCTTCTCATGTGTATTTCCTTTCTTAAAAGGGAAACCAGAGTGGGAGTCACAACGTAAGACATGCAACATGTCATAGCTGGATTATCTATTTCTAACTTTGGAATTAGTTTGAGTTTCATTTCTTATGTTTATCTACATTCATTTGTTGTAGATATAATCTGATAGAAGTAAAATAAAATCTTGTATTTATAAAGAAACACTTTGGGTCTGATTCAGTTGCCTGGAATACCAAGATGAATATGTATATAGAAGAACACGATTCTTTTAAGAATTCTCATTTTTATAAGAAATTAATAATTTTACTTCATAGTACCGTTTGTCACAACGGAGAAAAGAAAATATGTATTCCTGAGTCTCTAAATTTTTCTGTGTGGACAAACTGTTTCCCTATGTGGAGTTCTGCCAGAACCTCAAAGAATTTGAATGGATGTAGGAGTGCTACGTGTAGGGAGCAACTACTGGGGTCATAGCCTGTGTTTCCAAAGGGCACAAATGGTGCATGATTATACCACTGAGTTATACTATTTACTTTTTTAAAGATATAATTCTTTTTCATGTGTATCCTTCACAAATTTCAAATTAAAATAGTTTTGTAAACATATTGGAAAAACTATTCATAGCCTAGCAGAAAAATAAGCAATCATCTGGATAAGAAAATTTCTCCTGCATTTAAATAAGAGTCTTGAATGATTTTGGATGTCTCAACTCTTTTGTCCATGATATATATAATTCAGGTTGGCACAACCACTGGTTTAAAACCAGAAATCACATAAGAATATCTAATGCTGTCCTTGACAAATCTAATTAACTGTTTAATATTGAGTAAAAAAACACCACTGCGCTGAACTGCTTGAATACAACACACTGAAATATCAACAGAGACTGGATTAAACACAAAGCTGTTTCATTGCTTATATTTTACCACATATGAAAAGCTAATCTTTTTTTTTGTTTGCAGGATTTTTTGCTGTTCTCTGACAGGAATAAAATGCATCTGCTAATCATTGAGGAATGCAGTTTGTGCTAAAACAGAAAAAAAAAAAAAACCAAAAGACAATGTCCTAATCTACTAAAGTCTTGCAAATAAAAATAAAAGCTCAAGAGGTTTTTGGCATTTTTTGGTCGAGTTTTTTTTGGGGTTTTTTTGGAGGGGAGGTTTGGTTGGGGTTTTTTGGTTGGTTGGTTGATCTTTTGGTGCTAAGTAGTTTTGAATACTCGTTTAACTGCAGTATAGTGTATGCCATTCATATGAACAAGTAGCAGATATATATAATACCAGGTATAACATTATTTGACCTTGCTAGAAAGTATACAAACACTGGTCTGCGGGAAAACTTTCCCCCTGAATTGAATGCAAAGTATCTCAGGCTGCCACACATTTAATATTATATAAGCTAGGTACAGATTTGCATGTACAGTATTTGCAGTATAAGAATGTGGGCTTAATATTGAAGGGGACATTAGCTCACACCTTGTAGACTATCTGTGTTAAGAAAAATTGTCTCTGTTTCCAGAGACAATTTTTTATGATGATTTACAGCCTCTTTTTAAATTTTTTGTTTATCCTTGTAACTGTAAGGTTGTTTTTCTTTAATATAACTGCAAATAGGTAAGCAGCAGCCAGAGAATACTGAGAACAGTTCTTATCAGCACTTTCAAAAAAATTCTTAAAATATATATTTAATGTTTTTAATATATATTTTAGATTTGCTATAAATAATAGTATTTTTAAATATATATATTTATTTAAAAAAAATTTAGAATTGCACCTTGAAGATTAGAGATAAAGATGTCTGATCCTGTCTTCTCTCTTTCACACTTCCTTGCAAAGCAGACTTGATTTTTTTGTCTCTTAGTTGGTTTATTTAGGTCATGTAATTCTTATCTAGATTCTTCCATTTCGGGATTATGCATTGAGAGAGACTTAGAAAAAAACTGCACATGGGTCTTAGTTAAAAGTCAAGATAGCACATAGAACAGGGTATTTTTTGTTTATTTAGGCAGAGCAGAATAATTGCTTTTTTTTCTATACACAGCACTCCTATCAGTGCAGTTCACAATGAGCACTTACACTTTTTGTGGCAGTATGACATTGTTGACCCCAATATTAGAGAGCTGCTATAATCTCCTTTTTCCATTTCTGCTGCTTGTTTTGCAGCACTTGATGTCAATTTTGGAGTGTATTACTTTCTGTTTTATTAAGTATCATTGTTGAATTTGGGACCTCTTCCTAATTAGCTACTGTCAGAATTCAAAATTATCTTGACCTTCTATATTCTTGCCTCTCATCTTTACTTGTTTGTGTGTGCCCATTTTGTAAGCATAATTCACTCATGTTATCAAGTTGCTAATGGAAATGCTATTATCCTGGGAATGAAATCGACTAATCTACATGTTTCATTATCATCCTTCAAAACATTAATTACAATAGTATTTGAAACCCCTTTTAAACCAAAGTTTGTGGCAAGTGGCCACAGCTTTCTGCGTGGTAAGTAGGGCAGAGGCTGTGCTTCTGCCTGAGTGATGTGTGTCCCATGGCACTGCCTCTGGAGAAGTCTTGAGAAAAGCCTGATAAAGAATTAACCAAATTGAATTGCATTCAGCTTGGGACTGAAATTTGTGCTTCATTCAGTGTTATGTCAGTGAGGTAGAATTAATAGAAACTGTTAATTTGTCAATTATCTCAATGCAGTTTCTTCTTGCACAATGTTTCTAAGAGGAAAACTTGCATGATGACTACTCTGTCTAACACATGAGTGTAGAAAGAACTCTGCCTTGGTGTGTTAGAAACTTTATATCATCTAACAAAAGATGATGATGGTTTGCTTGGAAGGATTATAGGCTTGTAATTTTCCTAAATGAAGTCATATTATAAGCTTCCTCCAGCAAGGACCTAGCAGGGTTCCCTCAAGAGACACAGGTTACTTTTAATAGCAAGCATCTGGTGGTCTACTGATTGAAACTAGTTTAGGTATGAACAAAAATATGTGCAGTAGCTCTGTGGAGTTCTGTATTTAATTTTTTGTATTTGTGTTGAGTATATCATAGCACACAAGTTAATCAACAAGTAGAGCAGAGTGGGGGAAAGCCCTTTGTTTTTCTCTTTTGTTTTTATTGTTACTGTTTTCTATACCTTGTGGAGAGCATTTTAGTCTGTCATGGAGGTTGTTTGGGATGCAGGAAAAAAGCAACCAGTAACCTCAGCTCGCAGCTGTCTTTCCATATATCTTCTCCCTAGTCATTTGTATCCAGAATAAATAAACTTTTTCTGTGTGGATGGATGTGCAACTCCATGCAGGGACCTGGAAAATGGCATGCCAGCACTCATGAAGGATTTATAATCTCTAATTTCTTGACTTCATCTGTTCAGGTTCTTTTGCAGATAACTTCATTTCAAGGTACTGCTGCATGAGAGAATTTTTGGTTTCTTTCTGCTGTCCAAGTTGTAGACCTTGACTGAAAAACTTCCTAGGTTTTGTGCTAAGAGAACAGTCCGGAGAAAAAGAAAAAATCCTTATTTAAGTCATATGATGCTTCCCAAACATAGTCATTTTACTTTGCAACTTGAAGATGTTGATCACTTCTATTGCCTGTTTTTTAGTGTTTTCCTTGGCCTTTGCCTCTCTGTAGGGTTGTGCTGTGCTTATTGGGACACTGCCGGTCCACCCTGCTATGGGCTGCACCTCCTGCCTCAGTCTCTAAGAAGTGATACTGGGGAGCCTTTTTGTACTGCCTGACAGAGAATGGTGTAATAATAAATGATTATTTGTGTTACTTGACACTCATAAGTCAGGAGGATGCTAAAGTTCCAATTCTTCTGCCTCTGCTTGATGAAATCTTAAAGAAGAGTAAAATAGTGTTTGGGTCACTTTGGCCCATTTCTGAAGCAATCAAAGGAATTTTTTTGGTACTGGTTTTGTGCATCTGAATTTGAGCAAGCTCAGTTGTGATCCAGTGTTTTTTGTTTTTAAATGATCCTAAAATGTGCACTATTAAAATTCCAAACCAATTTTCTAATCAGTTCTCTAATTTCAGTTTTGAGGTCTAATACCGAAGATGTGGAGTAATGGTCCATGAGCATTTATAAGAGTTCACAGCTTATCCTGTTTCATTCCTGTTCTGTCTTGAAATCTTCAAAAAACCAGTCTAAGATAACAAGTGTAGAAAAAGGATTCGATGTCCATAAATTATTTTGCTGCAGCTGGGAAGTGCTGTGCACCACTTGTCTGTACTGTAGCACTACTGTATTGTTATATTATGCTGTATATTCATGAGGTAAATCAAACCTCATGATTTTTCAGTATACTGTAATTTAGATAAAGAATCACTGAATTTTTAAAATTCCTTTAAAGTCGTCTTTTTCAAAATCAAAACACATTCCACACTTAAGAATGCATATTCTTATTTGTTGATTGCAACAAATAATGATCCCTGAGATGGGTGAAAGGGAATGTTGGGATAAAAGCAGTCAAGGTTAGATCATACAATTTTTTCACTTTGATTCTTCTTTCTGGTGTTCGTATTCTTGTTTTCATTCTTTAAATTCATGCGGTTTTGTTCAGAGTAAAATAAAAAACGGAAACTTATTTTTTTTTCAGTGCAGACTTAAAACAAGCTTGTAGCTGTTCAAAGTACAGTCAGTGTTTATTGTAACATTGATATACTTTTGGGTGTCTGGAAGAAGAAGCCTAGAATAATTCTGTTCACAGACTTTGAAATAAAATGAGCTTATCTGCCCTGGCAGATTCATTTTTGCCTTTTTACAAGACAGATAAATACTAGCCTTTCACTGAAAAAGTTATTATATGAGGATATAATATGTGTGGCTACAGTTAAATGGATATATTATGGTCTGTAATATGCTATGAGATTTCCTTTACAGGACTTAGCACTCAAAAACATTTGTCTGCTTTTAAACTTTGGTGATAAGTATCTTCAAATTTGAATAGAATAGAAATGAATATTTCTGTATTTGCAATTCTTTTTCCTCTCTATTTCTCTGCTGACCATTTTCTTGTAAACTTGAAGGGATAGAGCACTATGACTGAGTCTTTGGCAAAGAGGATCTGGACACAAATCACTGAATTTGAAGATACTGAACTAAGTGAAGGCAAAAGGTTTTCTGCATAATACCATTTTTTCACCCTAGTATAGACCATGAGAGCTATGTTGGTGTTTTGTGCTTGTCTCAAAAAAATTTATATTTCTAATAATTTCTAAAGGTAATGTTTTTGATGTTTTTCAAAGTCATGGCATAAGACTGCAGAGGGTCTGGGACAGCTGCTTGGATTATAGTGATAGCTGATTACATGTTTTCAAATGTTCCTTAGTATAGATGATTCAACAAGATCCCTGAATCAGGGGAAAGTCGAGCCAGATGTCCAGGCTCAGTGCAGTCGTGGGCCCACCAGGACTGAGCAGGAGCATGGTGCAGAGCCACCCTGGAGCAGCTCTGGCTCTGAGCAGAGGGCAGATTTGGTATGGCCCCTGGACCCTGAATTACTTGAGGAGGAGGAGGTGGGAGCTTTTGTTCAGAGCCAATGGAGTTTGTGGCCCACTTTGACTCTGGTGACGTGTTCTTCTCAAGAAGCTTGTGGATGCTTAGGCACTGTTTGCTTAGAGTGGTTTTTAGTTTATTCTGAAGTAATTGGAGTACTAGGGTTGGTGCTTCTGTCATCGTTAACCATTATGTTATTCTTCTGGCTGTACCTATGAATGACAAATTTTGTTACATTTCTGTAATGCATAGATTAAAGTGTTGACCTTCTTTCAGCTCCAATGAATACAGTTTATGTAGTATCCTAGAGACCAAAATGCTTAAATATTTTCTCTCCAAAGCATAGTTTGCTATGCTATGTTGCCAAATAGCTACTTGCACACAGAAGCAGGTAGGGTTTTGAAGCAGTGAAGGTGGAGTTGTTAACTTCTACCACATAGCTTTAGGAAACTAATGTCCTCTTAGATGGAGCACTGGCAAGTACTTAGGTCACAAATTGAAGGACTGACAGTTAAACTGAATTTGTAGGGGATTAGATGAAATTAATGTTTTTTCAGAACACTTGTTTTGTGGGGAAATAAATGAAAGCAGACATCTGAAATCCATCTTAATTCTTCCCTTAACTGTGAGTGTTAAGAAATAGATATTCAATAATTTTATTGACTAGAAGATCAATGGGTTTTTTACACAAAACTGCTTTTTGACTAATTATGGTGAAGTGGTTTTAAGTTGTTTTTGGTTTTTTTTGTTTGTTTGTTTGTTTGTTTTTTTTTCCTATAGGTGGCTGTTTTAATGCAACAGTGTCATTAGCTGGCTGAAGACTAAACATGAGAATAGCAGGTAAGTACACTCAGTAAAATCAGACTTTGGTCATTTATGAAACAACTGCTATGGACAACGCTAACAAGTTGTGACAATAAGATTTCAAAGTCGTAGAATCATAGAATACCAGATTAAAAGGGATCTCAAGAATCAATCATTTCTTGGCAGAAGCATGGTCTAGACAAGATAGTTGTCATGTGTAAAGTGGAGATTTCTTCAAACCTTTAGTGTTTGATTAGTCTGTCAGCACACCAGGAAAGCCAAGCCCCTTGTTCCTGACTAGTGTGTGTCCTGTTATGGGCACCCTTCAATGAAATTCCTTTTCATTTGGGTGGATCTCGAGTGACTTTCGTAATACATACTTTTGTTACTTGTTGGTGTAAAATTCTCTTGCTTTCCTGTTAAGAGATATAGTCAATAAAATATAGAGCACATGCTCAGTGAGGGATGGTTGTAATTGGAGGCAGGTAACTTTGGGATGATAGTGTGAGTTAATATTACAATTAAGTTACAAACAACCAAGTTCATCTCAGGGGAGTGATCTCACCACAGCTGCTAGTTCAGCAGCAAGATGCCTGCTCCTGTCTCTCTTGGTTGACAGGTGCTGTGCAGGATTATCAGCTACAAAGTACCATTTGATTTCAACAGTCTGGCCAAGGTGTTTCCACTCTGCTCCACACCCTGTTGCCTGTTAGCACGTGCTTGAGGTTGCCGAATGTGTGTGTATTGAATCATTGTGGGATAGGTTTTAAGCTCACAGCATTCCATCCAGGAAGTAGCAGCTGTATTTTACCCTATAATTTTCATACTGCTATAACTTCCTCTAATTTGAACCCTAGCCCAGCACTGTCCAGTCAGATTTTAAAATGGTCAGTGCTGGGGACTCCACCACTTCCTGGGGAGGTTATTCCAATGTCTGATAGTTCTCATTGTGACAAATTTTCCATGTCTAACTGGAATCTTCCCCAGAATAACTTGTATTCACTACCCCTCTTGTTTTCCATGTGACTCCTTGCAAAAAAGAAGTCTCCATCTTCTTTGTAGCCACTCTTGAAATACTGGAACATGGTACTAAGTTTTCTCTAAGTCTTTTCTCAAGGCTGAACAAGCACAGCAGTCTCAGACTTTCCTCATCTGGCAGGCTTCCCAGTCCTTTGATCCTTGTGTTGGTCTGTCTCTATATTGTCCATGTCTTTGTCTTTTTTCTTTTAATGCCAGGGTCCGACACTGAAGGGAGTGTAACAAGTGTGGCCTGACAAGTGCTGTGCAGAGAAGAATAATGGCTTTGTCTCTCTCTGTTGGTTATGGCCTTGTTGATGCAGCCCTGCATCCAGTTGGTTTCTTTGTCAGCACCCTCCCTTTGTATTGAGCTTGTTGTCCATCAGAATCCCCTAGTCCTTTTTCCACAGAGCTGCTCCCCAGCTGGGTAGATTCCAGTCTGCTCTTTACTCCTGGATTATGATTTCTGTGGTGGAAGACTTTACATTTGTCGTTTTTGAACTTCACTATTAGTGTTGGCCCATTCTTCCAGTCTATCCAGTTGTTCCTGCAGGTTGGCTCTCCCTTTAGACATGCCCACTGCCTCTCAGTTTGGGATCCTCATCAAACTTTGTCAGGGTATGCTTCCCTTAAGTGGTATAACAGGCATTGCTGTTCTACTTCATTGGTGTTCAATGAAATTCATTTTGTAATTGGGATGGGTGAAGAACAATCACCTTGTTAAAATGCTGTAGCTGATCTGCAGTGACAGCCTAAGGTGCCACGACTTGATGTATTTTGGCTGCTATTTCTGTAAGATGATGAAGAAATAAGGAAATGGCAAATAGTTGTCTGAAGCTGTTTCTTCCCTGCCTCACTAAAATTGCTATGTGCTGTTTTAAGCGTCTGAAACTTTCTGAATGGTTGCTGGGAGTTTGAAAACTGTAAAAGCCTTTTCATATAGCTAAGTTAGTGTAGTACAGGCTTTAAGAAACTAATTCTAGTTGACAGAAGGTATAGTGGTTGTAAAAATAAGATCTTTGCTAATACAACATTAAACGAAAATATTATTTTAGACATTTTGTCACGGTAGAATAGCCTGTGTAGCAATGGAACAGTTTTGAGTTTCCAGTGCATGGCATTCTTATCAATGGTTACAGTGTTATTTTGCAGAATGAGAAACTATTGACTCTTCTAGAAGAAAATGACACCTTTTCCAAGAGCTTGTTAATGCATGTAATTTTTGTCACTACTCCTAATTTTGCTTTATTAACCACAATATGTATTATTGGGAGCAATTTGTTAAAGTGAATCTGATAAAGAACTGGAAAATGCTCCATTTTTTATGTGTCTGAATCATCTGGAAAATCACTTTCCAAACATGTTTGGGTTTTGGATTTTTTTTCCATTCCATCCAGCTATTTTTTTTGCTAAAAACCATAAAGTAGATATGGCAGTTCCTATAGAATATTTCACCTGTAGCAAACATGCCAGTTTTGGTTCAAATGCTTAAAGAACCTTCTAGGAGATTTCTTATTGTTCCTTTGAAAGGAGCACTTGCAGCTCAGTTGAAGAGCTCAGAATATAGATTAGAGGGGATGGTTAGTCCTCAGACTGAGTTCTGGTTCATCTCACATACTATATACTAAAACATGCTCTCCAAATACCACTTGCTAGATGACACATTCCAAAATCTGGTACCATCTTGTGGTCTTAAGCAGTGTTGCTTGGAAAACTTTTACCCCTTTGCTTAACTTATGTTCAGATCATCTGTTTCTCCAATGCTTACACATGGTTCCCTTCCTTTCAAGTGCAGTGATCTTTGGAGTTCCAGCATAATATTTTTAAGTTAGATTTGCACCTGTGTTTTCTAACATCATAATATGTATGTAGTCACACAGGAAAAAGACCAAATTTTAAGCAAAATACCCTTGTATCTTTCTTCATCTTTCTTTTCTTTTTCTATCCCCTTATCTTTTTTTAGTCTTTTGAGAGGATTGATTAGCATCTCATCCTTGTGAAGGCTGAGTAATCTGCCTATTTTAAGATTTTCTAAGCAGCCCATCACAGCAGCTGTCTGAGATCTGCAGGAGTATATAAGTTTGGCTTTTTCTAAAGGATTTGACTGGCAATCTGAAAAAAAGAGCATGCTTTAAGGTTGATTCTTCCAACTAGTTTGACATACTGCAGTAAGATAGGAAGGCAGGAGGTTGATCAGATGCCTCCTCATCTGACTTGTTCTCTCAGTCAGTATTTTACAGTCAGTTAAGAATGAAGTATTCTGTGAAAATGTATTGCAAATTATTCTAAAAATTGTGAGGTTTGGGGCAGTATCACATACATTTCCATTTCAGATGTAAGCTGCTGTGGTTGTGTGCTTACAGCTCTTCTCCTAGGAAGTAGATTGACCACTCAGCACTGCAGGAACTTAGCCTTCTAAAACTTAGAGCTGCCTACTTCAATATATTAAAAGGGGAATGGGAGAGGTACTGCTTTTTCTTGCTTATTTTAAAATAGCCTTTGAGTCGTCAAACTTGCTTTTTGAAGGTCATTAATATAAATTTCTTGAAAAGTAAGCGAGAATGCTTGTTTCTGGTTGACTGATTTGGGTTTTTTTTGTTGTTTTTTGTTTGGGGGTGTTTTTTCATTTGTTTTGTTTTTTGGTTTTTTGTTTTTTTATGTCATACTCAGAGCTGACTGACCATATTAGCCAACCTGCAGTATATAAACAGATCCCTAATCACTCAGTCTGGGCCATATATTAAAACAGAGGTATCTCAGTTTGAGGGCAGGGGGAAACATTATTTGTGAACAGTGAGGAACCAGGTACTTATGATTAAGAACATGGAAGTGGAATGGGGAAGGTGGGAATTTTGCCTTTGGGCAAAGCCAGGTAGATCATCTTAGTTCATTTGGTTAAGCTGGATTTTCATGGAAGTCTGGTTTCTCCTAGCTGCTGAATGGAATTGGTGTACTATGGTGTCAGACAAGAATGAAGGTAGAGAAGTTAAGACCAGAGTGTATTTGGTATGACAACCTGATGGATTTGTGCAGTTACGTCCTACATTATAATATCCATCCGTTTTTTCAGATTTATTCTGTTTAGTAGGACCACAAATGATCATCCTGTTTCTGAGTTCCCCAGGATGTTATTTGGTACACATTTCTCATGTTGCTAATTTTGGTAATGTTACCGTTTGCAGATAATTTTTTGAAATTTTTTTCTACTTCTTAATAGGTGCTGCAAAGTTGGTAGTAGTCATAGCAATATTTTTATTGACATTTTATGTCATATCTCAAGTGTTTGAAATAAAAATGGATGCAAACTTAGGACACATATTTGGTAAGTGGTGACCTTTTTTCTCTAGGCATTTATTAATATTTACTTGAGCCTTTATCAAGTTTTTCCTTAGGCTTGTCAACTTAAGAATTCTGTGTTTATCTTTAATATGTGTGCTTGTTATTTATCTATAATACGTGTGTTAAATTATTTTCTGTATGAAATATTTAACCTACTCTCTTAATTAGTTTGACTTTTTTGTCTGCCAAGGATAATTTTACCTGCTTTTTTTTTTGTTTACTGGAAATGCATTCTTAGTGTAGAGTAATAAATTAGTTTACTTGAACCATATTTCTGGAAATTTGTGCTCTGCCATACTACTGCTAAAGAGACTTAGACCTTGTTTTGAGAGGCTTTTTCTCTTGTGCAGGTATGCTACCGTGTTAAGTTCAATGTGCAGTAATCAAAGCATTTCAGATGTGCCCAAGTGTTCTATGCAGATAAAGATTAGCAGTTGAGGTATATCAAATTTCAGAGTCTATTTTGAACCAGAATTTTCTTTCAAGGTGCTTTTTGTTACCAAAAATATTCCAAACAAGAGGTGAATTTTGTGTTCTTTAACTCTGGATTACTGCAGTGTGAGCTGCCATCTGAACAAGTCAGCAGATACATCTTCAGTAATCATTGAAGAGACAGGGGTGTCATTGTGCCTGATAGGGACACTTGTGTCTCTTCATATCTCAGGAAAGGGAGTCATGAATGGTTGGGTTGAAATACACCTGAGCTGCAGGATTCCAGTTTAGGGGAAAGGAATGCCATCTCAGTGAGGCTGTGAGGAGGGAATTAATTTCATTTCAATGCCCTGAACTCCATAAATTCTCAGAGGTTTTGGATCTCTTGTGGGTTTTTGACTCCATGACTCTCAAAGAGCCATAAATTAAAGCAGTGCTTCTGAATGGGATTCCTAATCACTTTCATTCCGCTAATGCATAAAAGTTTTTTTTTAATTGGAACATGATATTCCAGGTGTATTTGATACTTCATTTCAACCAGTCTGTTTTTATAGGGGTACAGAAAGATTTTACATTTATAGGACATGATATAGCAGATGACACTTTAATAGTAACATCTTATAATACTTTCTTTTTTCATTTTAGCTAGATCAGCATTGGATGCAGCTGCACGCTGTGAGTATTCATAGGCATGTATTACTGCTGTGATTTGCTTTTACTAATAACAGAAAGACTGATGAATTTTCATAGTTAAAAAGTCCTAATTACACTTCAAATGCAATCAGAAACTAATTTTCCTCTTCTCCTGATTTTCCTAAATTTCTGGTAAAGTCTGTTTTGTAGTTTTGGATTGTGGCTTTTGATGACAGCGCCAGAGCAAGCAGCAGGGTGACAAAAAGAAGTTGAAATAATGAGGTGCTTCAGGAACTTAGATTATTTTAAACTGCTATGTAACTACAGATGCAAGAGTGTTTGTGTTTCCTCTCTTCTTTGAATTCCTTCAGAAGATATTTGTCTGTCAGCCTACCTGTGGTGTTCTCTAAAATCTTGACTTATTTCCTTTTGAAAGCTACAAAACCTCCAAGATACAAGTGTGGGATCTCCAAATCTTGTCCAGAAAAGCATTTTGCATTCAAAATGTCAAGTGGAGCAGCGAACGTAGTTGGACCTAAAATTTGTGTAGAGGATAATGTGTAAGTATTTTTCCCTGTTGTTTCTAAGTGTCTCTTTCAAATACTTAGATCACTTTGAACATAAAATCAGCAGTTTAAGACCATGTTAGTGTTGTTGGAAGGAGAGTGTTGTTGTTTTGTTTTTTTTTTTAGTATCAGTCATATTTAATTCCTTTGCCTTCCATGTGCATTTAAGCTACTCCAGTTTTGCTGTTTCTCAGCTCACACTATATTAGTACAGTTAGCACGTACAGCAGCTGGTGCTAATGAATTCTAGAGTCAATGGCAACTTCTCTGTGAACAACAGAACTTCACATAATAAATAGGATAATTCATGTATAAGAGGAAAAAATGTATTGGTAGCATTTTCCATCACTTTACTCTCTAAAATAACTGTAAGACTGGTCTCAAGTGATCTTAGAGAGAAGACTGTTTTTAGCACTAAGTAGCACTCCTGTGTAAGGCTGGCTTAGCTCAAGCTTGCTGGCTTGTGTGGGAGTTAGTCTGCAGCACAGCATCCTGGTGTAGCTGGGAGCACGTGCTAGCAGGAGCTCACCTTGGCACATCCGGACTCCAGGCTGCTCCTGCTGCCACCCAATCTTACTGGTGACTTGCTTGGTGACCTTGGGCAAGCTTATCTAATCTCAGCATTTTATCTCTGCTGGTGTTACAAAACATGCTACAGTCTCATTCTGGTTGCTTAATATAGGAAGCTTAATATCTGTGAAGACTTAAGCTGATTCAATGATTAAAAGTGAGAATGCAAGTAATATTTTAATTTCATTTGTTCTGTTTGGGATTTTTGACTTTTTTTTGTTTTAATGTCTTGTTGACTGATTAAGAAGAGTTTTGTTATTTCTGTCCAAAAAAAAGGAAAAATCCTTTAATAGATATTTTGCTGAAGAAAGTGATGAAAAAAAATAGTTGCTTGGAGAAGTCTTCTAAGCGTGCACTTTAGTGCACAGCTCTTGGATTTTAAAGTCCAGCTTTCCTTGGCAAACATCTTTCTGAATTCCTTCAGAGGAAAACTGGTCATGTCTGTCTTAAGTGTCCACCAGAAAATTTGATTGATTTTATATGATCTCCTGCTTTGCTCATAGGAGATTTTATTTCTCTTACAAAAGCTCTCAACTTGTTGACTGTAAATTCTTGGAAGAATTCTAAAACTGATGAAGGGCTGCCCTCCTGTGAGAAGCTGTCACATTGCAGCCTGTTGTGTTTCACGATGCACAAGCTGTCTCAGATGTAGCAAGTAATATATCAGAGCTCTGAAAAAAACTCATTTCCTCTTGAGTAGCTTTTTTTTAGAGATAATTTGTGAACTCACACCCACAAAAAGGTTTTTCTTTTTCTGAAAACTTTGTGTTCTTCTTACTTCCAAGACAGGACAGGAGGAATGAGTTTTCATAATTGGTGAAAGATAAATGCAGAGTAGAGTATTTTCCTATGTATTAAATATAAGGATGTCACTTGACTTATGAAAGCACTAAAGTTGCTGATACAATTCAGAATGCAAGTAATTTGTCAGTTTTTTATTATGTAGATATTTTAATGTGAAACAGGAGTTCTGCTTTATACAAGTACAGTTATAGCCTTGTTCTATATTGGGAGGCCATAATCCAAATTAGAAAAAACATGCTGAACTCATCATCAAAATATTAAATATTGTAGTTGCTACTTCATGGGCTTTTTAGAAGGGGCTATACTGACTTCTTTACCAGCAAGTTCTCCATGCAGTTTTATTTTTTTAAGAAGCCAGTTGCACGATAGTCCACAGTAACCCAATAGCAGGGTTGTACTTACTATATTCCTTTAGTAACTAGTAATCCTTGTATTCACAATTGTAGATTTTGTTATCTGAATCCATTATAACTTTATGCATGTGTGGAGTTTCAGTGTCTAGTCACTTCAGTATTAGGTATTTTTCCACTGATACTTATTTACAGAGAATTTTGTAGTCCAAATGAGAGGAAGTTCTTATTCTTTTTGGTAAATTCAATTCCCACTACATTGTGCAGGAGGAAAAGAATGAGTTCATTGCCTTTATTCATTTATGATCCAGTCTTTATTTGCCATATGTTTTTCTTGTTTAGAATGGATGTTCAGACATGACATGAAAATCACATGATCAGAGCAGAAATGATCCTCCAGTGGCTAAAATACTTGTGGAGTTCCTACTAACCAGAATTGAATTCTGAATTTCAGCAGAAAATTTCAAGTATTTTCTTTCAGAAATTACTGAATTAGAGTTTTAATTTAAATCACAGTTTTTTGGCAGAAGATGTAACTTAACGGACTAACAGAAGAGTATGAACTCTATCATCTCTGGTTACTAGTTCTTTAAAACCTTTTAAATTCACTCTGCCAAGAGTTTGCTTTTTCTGGTAGTCTTTCACAGCCTCTCTGAATACTGAGTCTGTTTCTGCTACTTGTCTATTCAGTTTGTCATTCCTCTAAATTTTAGCTTCTGTCTTCATCCTGGGTGCAAGAGAGACCACCATAGAGGAAGATTTTGACATATTTCTACTATAGACTGTTTCTTTTTTTTTAGCCTGTCACTAGGAAGTTAGCATGAGAAAGCTGACATGGAAGCTGTGTGTGTAAGAATGCATTGCTTAGAGCAGGTGTACAGACATGAACACAAAATCATACTACTGCAGAAGAAATGTGAATAAACTTTGAACATAACAGAATTGTACACATGTGCAGCCCCTTCCTAAAGCCAGCTAGGGAGGTTAAAAAAATCCTGATCAGGGTTGGAATTAGAGCATCTTCTAGAATGTGTTTGTAACTAAGGATGTGTGCAGCTATATACTTTTGGTGAGATGCTTTCTTTAATCTCAGCTGAAGGCTTCTTCATTATCTTAAATTATGTAACTGTTCAAAATGTGTATTTATCCTGTTTATGTTACTTCTTTTAATCCCAGCTTCAAAATGTTAATGTTGGGATATTTGGGGCCTGAAGGTAGAACAGAATTCTTCACACTGTGTGAGCTGCCAGTGAACAGGGATGAGGAGGTGTGAGGCTTCTCTCACTGGAGTGGTACAGCCACCATGGTCTAAGGTGGCACAGCATCCTACCTAAATCATAACATTCCTGTTTCTTCTTCTTTACCGCTCTGAAGGGCTCCTATTTCATAAGGGGACTCTTCAGTCCCTTTGCCCCTCTTGAGTTTGGTAAAGACATTTCTGTCAGAGATTGTGACATTTTTTGGAGATATGTGGTTGTAGTCCAAGACTGTATGTAACTTTTGCTTTAAGTCCCATCAGTGTACTAACTATTTTTCTTGCAGTTTAACAGGTTTCCTGTTAATTGTATGAGTAGCTAAGTGGTTTACCATTACCATTTACCATTTTGATTTGAATTTTAAATGCTTCTATTTGGTTAGCTTTTTAACTCATTAACACATTTTTGTTTGTTGTATGCTTACAAAAGGAAGATTAAAATATTGGTTATGTGGCTGTGCTGAGCTCCACAAATTAATATTTGGTTATTTTTTAATACATTAATAACATAACTACATAAATAATGGTATTTTTTGTGACACTTAATCATAGTTTCAAAGTATATCTATATATTAAGCAATCAAATTATATCAATACAACTGGGGATACTTGAGGTATTATTCTTAATTCAATGGTGCTTCGAGAACACAGATTAGTTCAAGGAGATTTTGCTTTATTTATTCATGAACATGCCTATGTCTCTCTTAGACCTTGGTCCTATTTAAATAAACAAATATTTCACATTAGAAGATTGTCTAATTAAAAATCAAAATATTTCTTTTGTTTCAGTTTAATGAGTGGAGTTAAAAATAATGTTGGCAGAGGAATAAATATTGCCTTGGTCAATGGTAAGTGACATTTTAAGGAGGCAGATTGTTTTCATTTTAAGATGTTTTCTCAAATGTAAGGTGAAATATTATGCGGTGGTGAAAGTCAAGCACCAAGGAGAAAAGGAAGTATTCAGCTTATTTATACTGAGATAATGTCAGATACTGACACTTTGTTACAAAGCAGATAAACTCAGTGCATTTCTGCTTCTAAAAATGGGTTGTAAAAATAGTAACATGGGGTTCTGTGGTGACTGCCTTGTTGATACATCACATAAATTCCTAATGCACAGAAAAATGCATGCTACTTCTTTTGACCTTGTGTGTTACCACCACTAATTAAATTGTAGTCTGTATTCTTTTGTTGCTCTGTTTTCAGTGAAACTTCTTTAACATCTTTAACAGTTTTGTTACTGCATAAAAAGACCAGTTCATTATATCCTCACTTGTATCAGAATATTTGGTCTATAGATCTTGTCCATAAATACACCATGTTAGGTAATTGTGTTCAGGGTTCATAATTTTCATTAAAACCTAACAAGTTTAGCTGTGTGCTACCTTGAACTGAATGTCAGCACCAGCATATTTGTCTTTAATGTGTAGGAAATTATTCCTGATAGTACTTTGTTATTTCGCTGCAACATAAATTCTTATTTGTGGATTGTACTCAGATTTACATCATCTAAAGTATAACTTCAACAATACTTCCTAATCCTATGTTGCTTTCCTAAAATGACTCAATCTGTTCAAAACCAAAGTAGCTATCTTCGTATTTTATAGCTCCATTCTTTCTCTCTGTGTTCCAAACTTTAAATGAATGTATATATTAAAGAACTCCACCTTCCATCAAATTCTCTTTGTAGACAGCATAATAATAAAAGGTAATGAGATATAGTATATTGTCCACTTTTTTCTATTTATTCTGGATGTTTAAATCCACTTAAAAATTTCCAGTCTATAGCAAAACATTTTTAATCTTTGACTTTCCATGTTGCATGAAAGGCAGTCTAAAGCTGTACTGTCTATTTTTGCAAAACCAACATTAAAAAAAAGCAGATATATGAACTGAATATTCTTTGTTGGTTTTAGAGCCTGTGTGGGTATTATCATTTATTTTAGCTTCCACTTCAAGCAAAATCAGAAATTTGTCTAGAATCACACAATGACCTGTGCTTAAAGGGATCCTTAAGATGCAACCCCCTCTGCCATGGCAGGGACTCCTTGCACTAGACCAAGTTGCTTAAAGCTGCATCCAGCCTGGCCTCCAACACTTTTGTGGATCTTCTCATTTTTTTCCTCTTACCTCTTCCTGCACTTTTTCACAAACAACTACACTGTTTCCATAAAAGAAAAGTTACCATAATTCATTTATCTAGTTTCTTCTGCAGCACGTTGTCTGAAAGAGTTTTAGAGGAGTTGGGCATGTTATCTGTAAAATAGTTTTGGCTATATATGATGGCATCAATTGTTTCTTTTTCTCTTTTCCTTCAGGTAAAACAGGAGAATTATTAGATACTAAGTTTTTTGACATGTGGGGAGGAGGTAGGTGCAATTACACTGGTCAGAGAGAAACAAATGTGCTTTTTTCTTCCTTCTTGTACAGACTCCATTTGCTGTGTGATTTAAGGTGATAGTTAACAGAGTGCTTCACCTCTACCTTTGTGAGGAGAGTGCACCTTTAAAGAAACACAAATAGTTGAGGTGGGAGGGAATGGTGTGGTTAATCAAACAGACTTGTTCTCCAGAGTAGTTCTCATTAGTTATGTCTTTACACGATATGGATTAAACTCTTTCTATAGAATAGGAGTTCTCTGCATTTTAGCTTTCTCTCACTCCACATCTTTTTATAAAGATACATTTACAAATATTGTATCTATTTTATATATATAAATATTATCTTTACAAATCTTCTTAAAAGTAATGTCTTTGCAGAAAACATTGCCGGTATTTAAGTAGAGAATTGTTGTTTATTATACAGTTTTATGTTCTTTCTTTTCAGATGTGGCACCACTTATTGAATTTCTGAAGACCATCCAGGATGGAACAATTGTGTTAATGGCAACGTATGATGATGGTGCAACCAAGTATGTAATTGATTTTAAACAGCAAATGTTGCTTAAACTTTTACATGCTGTTTCATACTGAAAAAAAATACATTATTACACAACCACTTTTAATAAGATTTTTTTCTTCCAAGGTGACAGATTTGAAACTACTTTCAGTTTATTAGTTTTATAATGCAGATGTGATTTGGGCTCAACAAAAATTAAAACTAAGCAGATATAGGTGTGCTGATTTTGGTATTGCTGATAGCTCATTCTGTCTTAGGCTAGTGAATTCAGATAGGTCCAGACATAGGAACATGATTATGAGAACATACTCTGGAAAGTGTCTGTCCCATCCAGCACTTTCTTCAGATCAACTCCAAGACAGAGTTTGGTGGTTACAGGATTGCCTTGCCTGTGTCCTTTCATTTAAAGTCACACAGGTTACTGGTGTAAGCCTTGTATTTTTTGGCCTCAGTATTTTACTGTTTCACCCTGAAGCTATTCTATTTATTAATCTAAATGTAGCCTAAGAGGGTGTAGGTCTCTCAAAGCATTGTCTTCCAACTTTCACCGTTTATTATAATCTACTCCTCACCTTAAGTCATCCTATCCACAGGATTATTTTTCACTGTGAAAAACAAACTTCTTTTTCCTCTGTTGTTTTACTAATAATTAACTTTTTTGTTAATGTGGTCTGTACAGTTTTTTCCCTCATTTGGTTCAATTTGTTATCCACAAGTTGCCTGTATTTTTGATATATAATCAGCTTCCCTGTGACTAAGGCCTGACTTTGCAGTATGGAATCATCACAGTAAATAGTCAAGTGTGTTTACATTCACTGCTTTTAGGAAAGAAGAAAGTAGTTTTCTCGGGTTTTAGCTAAGGTTGGATCTTCTCTCTGTTCTGTTCACTTGTTTTGTTACTTTACATTTTACCTGCTTCCCTTTCTTCAACGTTTTAGATGATAAGTAGGGTTAGTTTTGCTTCAGTAATCATGTTACAGGTGATACTTTTAATGTTTCTATGTAGATAGAATACAGCTAAACAAGTTGTATTTGGCCTCGTCATGCTGACAGACAGGAGCTACTGCTTACTGACAGTACTACAACTACCACTGGTAGTTGGTAGTAAATATAAATGCCAGTTCTTGGAAACAAAATTGGGAAGAATCAAGCAGCCCTAATGCTTCAGAAGGCTGGAGTATGGATTGGGTAAATAACAGTATTAAACAATTTTCATAATTTTGGCTCAAGTGAGTCATAAAGCTATATATTAATTGGTGGTAGTAATCAGAAGTTTTGTGTCTTGTTTGGTAATCAGGCACATTTAGTAACCTAAAGGAAGAAATTAAGAACTGTTATTTGGATATTTTGGAATGATATCCTACAGAACTGTTTTCCTTTTGATACTAAAATTATCCTAGTTGGGTTTGCAGGCACTGAAACATGCTGTGAGGCAGCTTTCTGAATTTTGAATTAACTGCCCCAAGCAGATGAGAACTTATTTCAGATATTTATTTCGTTCTTCTAATCTAAAATAGCTTTTACTTTATCTAGACTTCAGCTTAAGCCTGCAAACAATGTTTACTTTAAAGGCTGACTTTTTTAGTTGCTTTGAGAACTGCTAACAGAAGTTGAGATGTATAAATTCTCACAGGAGAGAATTCTTGGCTTTTGTTGGTGTAGTGATAGGTTTATATCCTGGTTCCTTGAGATTATAGTATGAAAGAGCAGTGCTTGTTGCATCAGGTGATTTCAGAACTAGCCTTATCTGATTCTGAAAGATAGATCTTGCCCAATATTGACTGACTTAAACTATATTAAATAAGATCAAAGCAGACTGGTTCACTGAACAGTGAAAGCTGTAAGGGCATGTACTTTATTCACATACTGAACTTCTCTGTTTTTTTCAAGGCTTAATGAGGAAGCACGGAAACTGATTGCTGAATTAGGAAGCACATCCATTACTAACCTTGGCTTCAGAGACAACTGGGTCTTCTGTGGTGGAAAAGGAATCAAGACCAAAAGTCCATTTGAACAGGTTTGTGAATCTATAACTTCCTGGAATTTAACAGCTTGCATTAATAGAGGCATAGCACATTTTATAAGTGCCCTGCATTTGTTCAAGATGAATATCAATTGCAGTACTGGCACACAGTGTTATTTCCTTGAGTAGCCTCCTCCTTTTAAACATACAAAAAAAGATTCTTTGGCGACTCATACACAAGAAAAAAAATGATATAGTGTAAATCTTACTATGCCAGTAACTAGATTATTCCTATTCTTAATGAATCAAATTAAACTGAAGAATTCAAAATTTCCTGCCTGAGTTGTATTTTAGATGCACTAAGAATAGTGAACTTCCAAGAGATAAGTGTGTAGTTGTGTTTCCAGCTGTTAGCTTTGCTCTCCTCTTAAATTGCTGCCATCTCAAAATATGTGAAATAGAATATATTCCCATATTTTAGCTGTTACAATTCAGCATGTGTCAATGTTGCCTTTAATTTCTGGTAAAAGTAGCTTTGTACTAGCACTAGTAAGGAAGATGTGTTTTCTTCTGCCATCTTTGTAAGAGAGGTCAAACTAAGTGCAGAAGCAGTGGCAGAGTCTTGGAGGCAATAATGTCTTACCTGACTGCAGATGGTTGCTTGGTGGACAAATAAAATGTTCTTTCAAATCTCACTATTTGTTTTCATTGCCTTGTAAATTTAGTATCCTTATTTATTTTTACCTATTAACTGCTTTAATGCAGTTGGTAATTTCCTTGCTTCTCTCTTCCTAAGCAAACATCTATATTAAAATTTTAAAATGTTTTCCCTGTATGGCTTAACTTTTTACCATATATTTGTCTGAGCAAGTTACTTTAAATGGTGAATATTTTCAGATTGTTATATTTGATTCAAAGCACAAGAAGTTAAAAATGTTTTTTCTTTGTCCGTGGCCTGAAAATAAATATCTGTCTTAAAGCTACGAGTTAAAGCAAAAGAATAAATGACTTCATGTTGACAGCATTAATATTTTTCATTTATAGCATATAAAGAATAACAAGGACACAAACAAGTATGAAGGCTGGCCAGAAGTTGTTGAGATGGAAGGCTGTATCCCTCAGAAGCAAGACTAAATTAAAACAGAAGAAAAGGAGAAAGAATATGGAAGAAAAAGCACTTTCTGCTATTATGAGAGGGCTATGAAGAAGACTGTACTGTAAAAAGTATTTTTAAAGCATGCAGCCATCTTGTCAGTCTGTGCATGAGCACTGACATTTTGAATATTGAGATTATTTATTGCTAAGACACATAAATTCTTTTTGTAAATATGTCCAAAATAAAAGAAACATCCAATCATTTCTATGCAGGTTTCTTAAAAGCACAGTATTTAGTTTGCCTGTGGTAAATAATACGTGTAGATAACTGGCTAATAAATTGCATATGTGGACAATAAACAGATCATGACAAATGTACTGTCCTCTTAACAGTGCAATGTTGCTGTGACTATGTAAACTTGGTGGAATATTGTAGATTTTAGTAATACATTAATAAGGAGCTTTAACTTTTGTTATCCTCTGCCTTTTTAATGGCAGCATCAATTTTTATTAAAACTATTTGGTTGCTCTAATGCCAAGTGCTTAAAAAATTTATTTTGTAGTCCCCTATCAAAATGGAATAATCAGCAAAGGAAGACTACATGATAGTATAAAACAGATATGCCATGAAAAGCACAAGAGAAATTTTTTTTCTATCTTTAGGGGATGAACTAAGGTAAATATAAATAGTATGTGTGATTGTACTTGAAAGCGTTTACTTAATAGAAGGGCCTGGCATGTTCAGCAGCAGTACTGTGGCTAATTTTTTATTTTTTATTGCAGCTTTTGTACTGCTGCTTAACCATTGATTCTCCATTGTGGCTGTTCAGCTGCAGTGGCTGGTCACGCAGTGAATGTGCATAATGGAAGAGCTTCCTCTTTTAGTTCTAACATCAGGAATGAATTTCCCATCACAAAGAGACTCTTAGAAGGCATACTGCCTTCTAGTGAGAGTTTCAGGGTACACAGTTGTGCACCTTTACCGTATACAGTACTTCTCACAAGCTGAGGCAATCTCTTCCTCAGTAGAATGTCAGAGGGAGCATTGTGTCTTGGGTTATGCAATGTGTGACTTGTAAACTTAACTGATGATGTTTCCTTCATCCTTTTTTTAATGAAAAAAAAGAAGGACCAAGTTTAAGTGGCCTTATTCTTTAGCTTATATTAGAGCTGTGTGAAGACCTTGCTTTCTTTCTAAACCTATATTTCTTTTAAGTAGGGCCAGCTTGAACTTTTCCTGAAACTATGTTTCAGGAACTGAGTCCATATTCACAAAATTAGGGCTGGCACGGGACTGGCTGTAATCTCTTGGAGCTTTGTGTCAAATTCTGGTATGTTCCTCAAAAACTTCCAGCTAGTACTATGAGGCAAAAGCCACAAAGGATTTTTCAGGAACTCACAGTGAGTTTAACATAGAGGCATTAGAAATAGTATTATTGTTGATGTTTTCTGAGTCAAATTCTGTGCACTAAAAATTTCAAGCAATATTGAGTATTGCCTTATAAGGAAAATAGATAATCTCTGATACCAGAGTAAGAATGGATTCTGAGTTGTTCTCTATGTTTAACTAGCTTTTTAAATAATGTGGGTTTCTCGCAATATTAATGTAAAGTAGCTATAAATGCATCTGACATAGTGCTTTTGTTAAATATTGCAGATTTTCCTGTGTAGGAGGATGTGTTAAAATCATATGTATTTTTTCATTGAAGTAAAATCCCTTTTTCTAATCAGTTTGAAATTCTATTCCATTACTTAAGGCTGTAGTGAAAAACTAAATGTGTAATTCCTGGAATTTTCACAGAAAAGCAGTTCTGTTGGTGTTTATGCCAGTATTGGCTATGCTGAAATCCTGAATAATACCAAAATAATTTTGAAGTTACTCAGCAGAGTATTAAGAGGAAGAAACCCTATTTGGCTGCATTAGTAGTTTCCCTGGACTACGCTTGTCTTCATTCTTTTGGCCAATGAATATTTAATCTTTCTTCAAATAAAAAAGTTCAAATTTCCTCTACAAAATTAAATAGAGAATGTGTGCCTTTATTAGCAATCCAAGTTGAGTAAATATATCATGATTCTCTTAACCCCTTAAAGGTGTACCTGCAGCAAACCTTTTAAGCAATGAATTTTAAAAAATAAAATGGCAGAATTTTTTTTTTTACATCTTAAATAATTTGATTCTTAAAATTTTGGTGGAAATCTTCCTCTTACTCTCTAAGCTGTGTCCTCACCACTATATGCTATCCTATTGAATAAGACTCTTGCCAAATATTTAAAAGTCATACCGGAGTGGCCACACAAATGGGGTGCCCTTGCTTTCCTCCATCATCATGCTCTATTGACTTGCTGCAAGATCTCCCCTGAGTGGGCAAGTCACAGTATCTTGCTGCTGAGATGAATTCTGAAATCAGCAAGACTTTCTGGTACTCTATCTGCATTTCATTTGGAGTTGCCAAGCACGAAGGTGACTATTCTGCACTCTCTCCAGCTGGGGATAGGAAATCAGTTGCAAAGACAATGGTACAGGTATACAAATACCTTTTTGTGTGACAAAGCTTCAGGATCCATATTTTCCTCTACACGGTGATGGGAATTTTTGCAGCATCTTGCAGACTTGTTGAGAAAACAGCAGCAAGGGAAGGGAAGTAAAAGGTTGTGAGATATATCTACTTCAAAAAGTAGAGCTGTGAGAAGAGAGGGGGAAGGACACAAGAATGTTTTAACTTAATTTTCACCAAGGAAAATCCAGCTGGGATTCAAGGCACCTGAAGATGACTTCAATGTAAACACAACTCTTAACTGCTTTACTAGTGCTGCTTTATATGGATTCATAGGAGTCCAAAGAAAGAAATGGAAGGAGGTGTCTGCCTCGATGTACCCTCTGGACCTTCCCTAGTGCCTTTCATAATCCAACTTTTTTTTCCCCCTCTGGAAAAAGCAGACCCTTTTACAGCCTTAGTTTCCTGATTGCCAGTTTGGAAAAGGCTTTATTTTGCTCAGTGTGTTTTGCTTTCCAGATGTCTTACTGTGGCACTTAGTTTCCTCAAACATTGAATTGACTGCTAAATGCTTGATGTGTATGTAATGTCTCCTGAAGTGTTTGGGTTTTCTGCAGTCTGAGTGTTTTTCAAGAATAAGTGTATTAATAAAATAAGAGGCCAGGTGGGCAATTTCGGAAGGGAAAATAATGCTGCCACCATATGTGCAGACTGACTTTCCTGTGTAGGATGTGGGAAGGGCTGCAGTGCCTCCCAACTGACTTGGGTCATGGCTAAGGTGGATACTAAGCAAAGGACTTTTTATTGATGAAATCCTCAGTTTTGAGGCTGTAAGGGATGGGAGCTTTGAGGCTGAAGCAGGAAAATGTGAGAACAGCTCTTGACCTGTTCAGTGACATCAGGGGGTGTCAGTGGTTCCTGATGCTATACAAGGGATACAAGGGAACCCTGCTTGTCACCCTCTGAGCAACAGGCCAACAGGGCACAAACACCTGAGCTTCAGCCACATCTTGCTCCTACCTCCCTGGGGGGTGAAAAAGTGAAGAATGGCAAGAGAAAACATACTCTACTCGAGATGTTTCTTGGCATTTCTGATAACATTAAAGCCACATTTAGTTCCTCCTTTCTGTATCTGTAGTTATCCCTTTCATTGTTACAAAGCTCTAAGGCATCCTTCATAGACTCATGTTAAAAGAGATTCCTAAGATATCACTTCCTGTGCTTAACTGTCCATCTAGGTGAGTTGGCTCATGTGACTCTCCACTTAGGTGTCTTTTTACATTATTGCTTGCCCTATGTTCTCTCCAGAACATGCAAACCAGTTCCTTCACTCTTGTATTTCAATTGCTATAATCTAAATCTGTAAACCTGTTGCCCCAGAAAGGTCTGTTCCTTTCTTAGGGTGTTGTTCATAGCATGATATAGCTCCAGGCTCATGCAAAATCATGAAAAAAAGGCACTTCAAACCAAGGAGGAATCACGACTCCTCTTTGAGATTGATGGATGGCAGTGGAAGAGAGTGCTATCTTCTGTGGAACATGGCTTGCAAATGTTTTTTCCTACCAAATGCTACAGCAATCTTCTCTGATTATCCTTTTCAGCCTTGAATGTTTCAACATTGTTTTCATCAGTACAAGTTCTCAGGTCTTGGCATCTGAACCATCCCATTGAAAAACTTGGTGGATGTCCTGATTTCTGACTTTTATATCTTAGCTCTCATAGATGCTTCAGAAGGACCTAACACACCATGTAGATAATTACACCTTATGTAATGTTTTGTAGTATATTAGTTAATAAAATGAACATCATCTGTTTATTATCATTTGAAGTATGCAGATATGAAACCTTTGTTTCAGGGCATTAGAATATATACAGAGAGAGGTAGGGATCAGCACAGAGCACAGAGTAATAGTTCAACTACATTGTCTGCTATGTAAAATGCATGGAAATTGCTCCATCTTCTGGGAAGTTTCTGATCCCTGGAGGGAGGCAAAGCAGATACTTAATTCTCTTTCTCTTGCTGATCTTGCAATCAGTGCACAGGAAAAAAAAAACAACAAACAAAAACAACAAACTACTGAGCTCAAATAATATTTCAAGGTTATTTAAGTGGTCAAAATTGTATTATCCCAAGTATGGTCTCAGCAGAGAGTACGATACTGTTCTGTCTGGACTTAGTGCTGTTTAGTCATCTCCCATTCATGCTGCCAATCGGCCTGTGGCACAGCATGAGGAACCTGTGGGTTTATTTTCACTGCTGAACCCACCTGGGGTCACAACTCTTTCTTCAGTGTCTTCCACAGCGATATGTCCTCCCTATTTTTCACAAGTTTTCATAGAGAAGGTGTTGAAACCTCCTGTGACAATGCCTTACTGGCATGCTGAGCACCCTTCCCACAGACAGCAGATTTTGTGGTCCCAGGATAATAACTTGGTCAGGACGATGGAGATGGACTGGCCAAATGTGGAGTAAAGGTCCAAATAGCAGATAATGGACTTCATTGCTGCTGAACGGATGTTCCTAAAATAATCTACATAGGGCAGTGAAATACCGCATCATAGAAGATTTTGTTTCCTTCTTCCTGGCCTATGTATCCAATAAAGAGTGACAGTTCAGAATCTGGACACCATCTTTCCTGGGAAAAAACTGACAATTAGAAAATAAATTTTTTAAAGTAACTTTGAAAGCCTCAGCCAAACTGTCCCAAGTTTCTAAAAACTGGCTGTTAGTATGAAAGAAGTTAAGGGATTGCAAATCCTTCAAGTTCCCTTGATTTCAGTGGGAGTACTTAGTGCAGAAGTGGGATTTCAGTGTCAGTAAAATGCATTTAAGAGAATAATAAAGCATGCAGAATACTAATTAACTGACCATTTAGAAAATCATAGTGTTTCTCATAAGTGTGTATGAACTGCAATAGTTATAACCACCCTGATGATAAAAAACCCTAACATTTATGCTGTTCTCTGATTAATTTTCCCCCAGCCCATGCCAATAAAAATCAGTTAAAGGCTACTACAATATTAACAAATATCTACCCAACAAATCTCAAGGGCTGTAGTCTTATCACATTAGTTTTGGAAACCTTTTTCATAACTTGCATAATTTAAATATTTACAAAATATAAACGTTCTTGTTTTATCAAAAATAGTACTTTGCACAATTAAACAACAGTAATCCTTTCGCATGATGCTTTAAAGCCAGGCATTAAATCACTGAATAAAAATAAACAACCTTTTACAGACGTAAAATAAAATTTAGCCAACACATGGAGACAATGTTATCATTAACAGTTTAAATACCTTAGTGGTGTGTGCCAATCCATAAATAACATTGTGCAGTCAACTTACTGAGGATGCAGCCTAATAAAAAAATTCTAGCTGCTGATTCTAAGAAGAAAATATGTTTTTAAAAAATCCCTTGTTTTATGGCAGATTCCTTTGGGCTAAATCTCATGTGGTTAATTTTGATAATGATGGTGAACCACCAGTGAGATGGCTGAATGTGGCAGGTTATTGCATAGAATTCAAGAGTGGAGTGACAACCAGCTGACTCATAAAATGTGTGCTCAGATACTCAGGAAATGCCTGCAGAGGGTTTTATTTCCTTCAAATATCAAACTGCATTTCTGTCCCTTCTCAGACCTCTCCCTTGTGTGTTTGAAGAACATCCTGTTAAAAATCCTGAGGTTGCTATTTGGTAACCCATTCACATTCACCAAGCTGTGCTCCTGCCTCTCTCCCCTGGGCACAGCTTTTCCTCGTTTTCCAGGCAGACACTACTGAGCTCTCTGCAGTCACATGCATTCCTCACTTCCCGACGCTTTTCTGCACAGTATGCAGAAGGCACTTTTCTGAATGGCTGCAAAGCAAATTCTTCGTGGTCAACAGCTGAACCCTTTCCCTATCTTTGTGGGTTTTTCTGAAGTCTGCAGAAATGAACTATCTAGTGGATCCATCTAGTTCCAGTTTTAAAAGCAGAGACATAAGGACTATATCTAATGTGTCTTATAAATCCTCTTAACTCTTCAGGCTCTGGCTAATGAGATCTTGAGATTTCTCCACTGTACCTATCCACCACATGGATCTTCATGACATTGTGTCTATTAAATTCTTGAAAAGTTTTCGAAGTTTTGTGAAAAGCATCTGTCCCTGCTCATGGAGTAACACGTTCAAATGTGTCATCAGGAGTCCTTTTTGCTGTTTAAGCTGTCCCTGCATGCAGCCTGATGTTTACACAGCTGTCCTTTCAGTCGAGGCATGCTTGGACTACCCACTGTCTGGCAGTACCTGTTCCCCCTGAGGCCGATCCCTCTGAAATCCCACATGGTGACAGTGATTGCTGCCCCTGCAGCAGCTGTGTGCACCACACAGGGTGGATGGCTGGGCCGTGTTTCCTGTACTACACCTTACTTGCAGGTGTGTACGTCGGTCATGGTCTCACACCTTCTGCAGCGCACGTAGCAGCACCAGACAAACTTGCACTCGCACCGTTCCACGTGCCTGACGACGTGGGTGTTGTACCCGCGCCCACAGCACAGCAGGTTACAGCCCTCGGGTCCCTGCGAGGTGCGGTTACATTCTCTTCCCTGAGTGCCAGGGATCCCCAATCTTTGGTCTTCGACACAGTAATTGGGTGACTTGTTCACATACAGCAGGTCCTCTTTTCCAACTGGGATTTTTCTCTGGCTTTTCTCTTTCCTGCGTAGCTTTTTTTTAAGTCTGTCTGATATTTGTACGCTGTTTTCATACTTATCCTTTAAAAACCGTCCAATCTTTTCAAAGGATGACATGGTTTTCCAACAAGTTTTCACAGCACAGGACCCAGAAACACCATGACAACGGCAATCCACAGACATCAGCTTTGCTACAGCCTGAAAGCAAAGGGAGAACAGCATTTGGATGTGGTCTTTCATTCATCAGGAATGCTGCCTGACATCAGTAACGCAGAGGTCTCAAAGTATTTAATATTACAGCTGCCACTGCCATTTCCATAACAGACAAGTCAGAGCACATGTTAGGAACTAGGTTTCCAGTCCTGGACCCCCACTATGAGAGGCATGATCTTCAGATCTGCTCTTCATTTGCAGTTTGCAATGGCCATAATGTAGCAATATTGATCATAACAGTGAAAGTTGTGATTTCTGGATAGCTTTTCATTCTGGAGCATCCTAAATACTTGAATAACATGTCCTGTGTTGCTCCTCCCACTGCTGGAATGCAAAAGGCTATCATGGGTGACAGGGTCTAGTGGGGAATAGCAGAAGGGGAAAGCAAGGATAGGGCAGGTCATGGCACCCTTCCTATGCTGGAAGACATCTACTGGGCAAGTAAGTGCACAGTTATATTGCCTTTTAAGGGTACTTAGAGCTATAATGAAGATCACTAAACGTTCACAACCCTGTTTGTAGCTAAGGCCACAGGAATGGCTGAAGACATACAACAGTGCCTGGGCAGCCAGTGTGGCTCAGCACCCAAAGCAGCACAGGAGGAAGCACCTCAGGGCAGGCTGTTGGAAGAGCAGGAGGATGCTCACATCTCTTAGCTTCACAGAAAGTCTATCAAAAGACCCACCAGGTGTCTCAGTAGAAGTGTCTTTGGCTCAGGTATTCTGTAGTAAATCTCAGGTGTTTCTCACTTATAGTCTTAAGCCCTGTTCTTTTACTTCAGAGATAACTAGTTCTAGTATGGGTTTCTAGTGTTGCCAGTTTCATAATGGCTCTATTTAACACAATTAGATAGTTGCGTTTATATTACTTTTATATATAACTGCTAGTGTTTTAGCAAGGTTTCCACAGTTATTTCCAACATTCAAATACCTTTAGATAAGTTACTTTTCCATGCTCATGCAGAAGGAAGGGCTGAGCTGAACAGTAACTCTCTGACCAACAATGGGAATCTGAAGCCTGTGTTAAGCTTTTTATAACATATAACAATGTTGGCTCAGTTTATAGGAATCCAAGCCTCAAATAACTGGAATCTGCAAACAAGCAGTAACTTCTCATATCTTTATCTTGAGACGGACTCAAGCACTCAGGAGACAACCAGTACAATACTTCCTTCTCTAATATCTAATAATCTAATCTGTAATATCTAATAATCTAATAATCTAATAATCTAATAATAGTATAAAATCATACAATTAGTCTTGTGACAACCCTCACATTTGAGTTCGAAAAAGGCACTGAAAAATCACACACGTATAGATGTAGCACAATATATAATTTTTGCTTTGTTTTACAATTGCAATAATGCATTTTCTGGAGCCATCCTGTGGACTAATATGGGTCAAGGAACCACTTTTACCAAAACATGGGAAAACAAAAAAAAAAAACCAACCAACATCTCAACTACATGATGCTTCTTAAATTTCATCCTAAGCCTTTGCTTATCCCTCAGCCTCCACAGTTACTAACTGCTGTCAGTCTATGTCTTTCCAAAACTGATTTAAAAAAACAGAAGACACATCTAAACACCCTCCTCTGGTTGCCCCTGAGAAGGCAGTTTCATTTGTGCCAGTTCCTAAGCCTTGATTCTGCAGTGAGATCTGAAATCTGAAATCCTACTGAGCCCCACTGGCCCTCTGCAGGACCAGAAAAAAACCCAAGTCCCAGACTCCATATTGGTAGCTCAGGCAGCACAAATGCCATCCTCAAAATTCCTAAACCAGTCAAGGCATAGGGCAAATCAAATGAGCTATTTCTAATCTATGTGCTAAACTGGGACTTTTCATCATGGTGACTGTGGTCACTGAAGTTTGGGATGAGTCCAGCACGGTTACTCCATTGGTTTCAGTGGGCGTTGAGGCCTCCTGGCATATTCTGCCCCAATGGTATTGACACAGTCTTGAGCTGGCATTTGCATAAAACTCCAAAAACATTTAAAAAACATGACCACAGTGTTTGCTTGGAGCCACATCTTTGGTGAAAAAACAGGAATAATTGTAGGTGGAAGTTACTGTGGAAGCCAAAAATGCAAGACATTCACAAAAAACATTAGCAAGAAAGAACAGGCATATGCCTTGACCTGGAACAGCCATTAGCCTTTGCAAACTAAACCTGGTGAAGAGGTGCACCTGTACAGGAGATACTTCCACATGCTGTGGACTGCTTTTTCAATTGGGGATTTTTCTGCACTACTGGAAGAAATAAGAAAATTGCAATACGCAAACTCTCACCCAGGAGTACACACAGACTCTTTAGTGGCAAAACAGCTGCTAGGTAATACCGGTAGATACTTACCATCTCTTCCACACAGACTAATTTCTCTTTAATAGACAGACCTGACCTTGCTCATATCTCAAGAACCTGTCAATAACAAAATCACTGGGGAGTCAGAATTTTAATCATTAAGATGTAAGAGTGATTGAGGCAGATGAGAATTTAAAATCCAAGGAGAAAAAGTCTGTCAGAAAACAGATGACCTAATAAAAATGTGAAGGAAAAGAGAAACACAATATCAAAAGATAAATTTTACACACAACTTAAAAATAGAGAGGATTTAATAGTATTTTTCCAATTTTGAATGATAATTTATTTTTGTCTAACTAGAATTTCAAAGTGGTTTTAAATCATATTGTGCTATTACATTTATAAGGTTACAAATGTAATCCTTGTTTTCACTGCAGTATGGTAAAGTACTTACTAAGGGCAGGAGGATCCAGGAATTGTCAGAGAAAGCTCTGGACTCTGCTAGGTGCTAAGGGTGAGTTACTTCCATCTGGGCAAGTAGCCCAGCAGATGACACTCAGAGTCTTTCTCTATGGATGAATTAAACAAAAGTAGAGGGAGACAGAGTTTTGAAACAGGAGCAGAAACTGATGTTGAAGTCTTTGACATAAAAGTATAAAATTGCGGCATATGTTAGCAGTGTAGAGATGAGCAGATGAATGCAAGAACTACAACTGTGGTTCAGTGTCTTGCTCCCCAGCTGCTAGGATGGGAAAATTTTCAGCCTGGACTCCAATATACTTAAAGTTGCCAACACAGGGAAGTGACATTTTGCTTTGCTGGATCACAGAACATGCTACTGCATCTCAGCCTGCCATGTGAAATTCAATGTAAAAGCTCCCATAATTGAACATCTGGCACAATTTAGGGATTAGGCATCTTTTCCTGATGTTGCAAGCAAACGTAAGATCATGCCTATAGAGCCAACATGGCCTTCAGGTGGGACAGACCTGTGTCTCAGCAGTGCACAGTGACTGCAGAGTTACTGGGACCATGACTTCCAGACTGACTTCACAACTAGTGTTCTGTTTCACTTTAGATTCATATGGTGAATCAGTTCAGTTCAGTTCTTCATGAAATAGTGAGAGGATTCTCCCTATGAAACAAAATTCCATGGAGAGCTTCAGAGGAGCACTGCTACAGAAACCTAGGGGATAGATGTGTTGTTCTGAGCAAGCCGGGACAGGCTTTCTTAGGTGGGTTATGGAACTGACTGACAGGTAGTGAGAAATTATTAGTGTGGAATTGAGCTGGGTCCACAGGCATTGTGGTCAGCCACAAGCCCCTACTGCCACTCAGCCTTGGCGGTACAACACACACAACAAGAGTACAGGGTTAAGTGATGCACAGGGACAAGCACTGCTCTGTTTTAAAATTAAACCTGAGAGAAAGATCATTTTTAAACTGTCTTCCTTTCACTGATTCAATACATTTAACAGAGGGAGCAGCACAGGGTGGGAATCTGTGGCTAGAACAGACAGATGGGGCAGAAAGCAGAGACTGATTTGCAGCAAAGGAGAGTGTCAATGGAATCACAGTTTGCATATTCTCTAATGCCAGTTAATGCTTAACATGTCCAAGTGAAGCTTTCTGTTTGCAGGCACTGTTCTCAGCTGTGAGACAAGGACTGCCAGTACTTGTTTTTGTCACAGGAACTGATTCCTGTAATCAAATGTCCCAGTTTCAGCCACTCGTAGAACTAATATGATTATTCACGAAGACAAGCACATGTCCAACCAGAGGTGCATCACTTAAGAACAGCTCCAAACTTGGTGAGTCTCTTACCAATCCTCAAGTATCAGTAAAAACAACCTCTCCAAATAAGCCCCACATCAAATAAATTTCCACAAGTGGAAAAGTGAGCAGAATTTTTCTAGCAGCAAAATAATACTAATACAGTGATAGTCAACCCATGCCTGATCCCCCACATGCTTTTGTTTAAAGAAGAGCCCAACTCACGTATGCACATCTAAGCACACTGAAAATTGCCATGCTAAAAGATGATGGATGTCTGTCTTGTAGCAGAATAAGGATGCAATCTGAATCTTCTGAGAGTCAGATTAGTGGACAACTCAAAAGGCACACACAGTTTTACAATTTTTATATGTTGATATGGTAACTATGAGATGTGGATGTATAAAATAACATTTTGTACTGAAATACAAGAGAAACAAGAGAATTCTGCACATACCAATTCTGTTACTAATGCCAAACAAACACAGAAATATTGTCCCTGGAAGACTGTTCTTGCAAGACACCAAACCAGGAACATGATAGTATTTATTACAAAAGGTCGTAAGATATCAAAACATCCTTCAAGCCTCAAAACATGAAAGCCAGCATTTTACAGCATCTCCTAGTTAAGATTTGAAAATACAAAAAGGAAGAATTATGCTAAACTTTATTTCAGATAATATTGCTTCTAGAAATCCCAAGTACCAACAATAAACATTCATTTTCATTCTGGACAGTGATCAAAATATTTGCTTTATCCTACATTTTGCCATTAAATTACAAAATATTTATGCATGGAAGCTGACTATATACTTCTTCCTTAACTATCTCTCTCTACAAACATGATAAATAACCCTTTGCTCTTTCCTTAAGGAAATAATTACATAATCTTATGTTTCTCTTAAGATCTACTATACTACAAGATACCAATCACATTTCCTTGGAGATAATTTAGCTGACTAGCATTTAATTAAACACATAGTAACTGTTCTCAGCTTTTACTCAGGTTTAAAGTTTGCTTCTTCTACTTCAGTTATAAAAAGGGTCTTTGTCACAGTACCATGGCTTCATGGAATGGTTTGGGCTGGAAGGAACTTGAAAGATTTTCTGCTTTTCCAACTACATAGCTTAAATGAAATAACACATATTTCCTGTAAAAATTACTTCAAGTTAAAGTAATTTTCAATTATACCACCAATATTCAATTATATGGCTCTTATGATGGCTTACTATTGTGATTCCTTGTCTACAGCAGATAGGCAAGTTGATTACAACAAAATCCACTGTTGCTGCTTCTAGCTACAGGAAATTTCGGAGTCACAAAGGAGTCCATCAATATGTGTAGCCAAAACCAGAGGTTTTCCTTTTTTTTTTCCTTTAGTTAAAGCTGAGTCACTGAGCAGAACAGATTTAAAGTATTATGGGCCCAGAGAGCCATTAAAGATAAAATCTCCAAGGTAAAGCAGAGAAAGTAATTTTAAAGGAAAAATAAGAATAAAAATCTCTGCCATTCCAGATGTAAGTTCCAAGCACTCGATTATATGCTCACATCTCCCTGTATAGGCTATTTCTGCCCCCATTTTACATCCTCTGCAGGACAGGAAGGAGAATTTAATGTCACACACTCAAACACACAGTTTTCCTCAGCAACCCTGGGTTGGAAGTTCTTTGGGCTGACAAAAGCCATCCAAAATCAGTCTCCTTTCACTTCTTTGATGCATGTCCTAACCAGTGAGCTTCTTTGAAGGTGTTACTTCTATTCCATGTTTTTAAAGAAAATATTAACTCTTGATTTCCCCTCTGAACAATGTTAAACTTGCACTCTCAGGTATGGACTGCAGGCTGCAGATGAGGCCTTGTGTGCAGCTGGCCTTCTCATTCAGTATTAGAGACAATTAAAAATGTGGGTCATGATAGTAACAGAATAATCAGTGACAAGAATCATATTGTATTATGCTGATAACAGGCCTATTTTGAGTTTGCAACTGAATATCAAATATCTAATTTATCTTGATATTTAGTATTTAAGCACTGCTGATCTATTACCTATTTTGTGGATTTTATTTTAGCACACAGAGATTAGTTGGTTAAAACCAACCCTGATTCTGAGCTTGAGGTTTAGTGATGTTTAGTGCTTTGGTGATGTTTAGTGCTGTTCTTGCCACTGGCTACATGAATACCTGCAGTCAAGGATCCACTTCCTTTGGCTGATGCCATTTTGTCAATGGAGGTGATCGAGCAGTTGCTGCCACATCTGAGTGACACCTACCTGCCTCCCAGCCTCGTTGTTGTGCAGGTTCATCGCCACCAGTCCGCTCCAGCTCTTGCCTGTCATGTTCTTGAAAGGCACGTCCAGGAACATTCTGCTGAAGGACATTCCGTAGTGGATATCGTCCGAGCAGCCGCCCCAGTGCCAGCCCTCGCTGGCCGAGCCGCCGTGCAGCAGGGTGACATCGCACGAGCACTCGGTCACGTTCCCCGCGCTGCACGACCGAGTCACCGCGTGCACGAGCCCCGCCGCCGTCACCGCCGAGATGAACGCGGCCTCCTTCGTGCCTGCACAGCAAGGCATGGAAATGTAACTCCACAGCTCCCTCTGATCACCCTCCTGGCTGCGCTACAGACCGGGACTTTACGGGCCAGATCATTACTAAAAGGGAACAGTTACAAGTGGAAAATCATCACAGCTTGCTCAAAGCAGCGCATGTTCGTACCCAAAATGACTTCAGGGCCTCTTTATATGACCATGCTATTAATGGGGCCGTTTCTCACTACTCGTACCATACAATTTTTGGTAGCATCTTTCTAAATCTGACTAGGAATTTTATTTGCCACAGAAATTTTCAAGCCAAATAATATTTAAAAAAAAATCAAACTCAAAACTAACCACATTCCAAACCCCTTACTCTCCACTCTGCTTTTCACTATTCATATTGATTTGAAGAAGAAAAGGTCAGTTTAAATCTCAGAGAAGCTGTCGTGATCCCAGGTTACTTTGGTACAGTGCCAAAACTTACCTCATGCTAAATTTAGCAAACATTGATGTTCTCCTAATTCACGGAGGTTCCAAAGAGCCCCAAAAATCTTAAACCAGGTAGAAATCAGGATGGCACGAAGATTTTTAGGCCATGTGCTTTTTCTAGAATAAGCTGGCCATGGGAAAGGCAGCAGCATAAAAGGCCTTTACTTCTTAAACTGTATCTCAGAAGAGTCATGGAGGGACCTGCCTGACCTTCTTACACCTGTCCCATTCTCTGAAACTTCTGGCATAATGTGACATACAGCTTTATACTGTGTTAAGCAAGCCATACTCTAAGCATGTTGATATCAGTGAGTCGTCAATAAATGTAGCTGAAATTTTACTGAAATGGGCCAATTTTCACTGTCGTGAAAATTATTTCTTTCCAGTCTTCCAGTCTCCTGCTCATGAGCGGGAAAATTCCTGTTTGTTTGTCCTGTTTGTATTAGTCTGTGGTGCTGGTACCATCATAAAAGGTTTCCACAGTGCACACTAGTGAAGCTTTGTGGGTGAACAGTGGCACTCATTTATGGGTCTTCAGGAACAGTCCTTCCTGTTGAACAGGACTAACACACATATGGCTCCATACAGTGGGGAAAAAATCTCATTTTCTTTTTTTTCCCCTTTCCTTTTTTTTGGAATATGCACCATGTTTTATCCCTCACTTAATGTTTTCATGATTAAAGCTTGGGGGTTTTACACTGTTTTAGAACAAAGTGAAGGTTGCATGAACACAAAGTGAAGTACCACAATACCTAAAATCACATCCATCACACAATCAGTGACCATGGAGCTAAAAAAAAAAAAAAGTTGCAGAATCCTTGCAACTTGCAAGAAAGCTTTGGTGTGACACTTGATACAAAAAACTCATCCTTGTTGGAAATTCCAGCAATTTTCACTGTGCTGATCAATACCACATAACTGAGCACATACAATACATTGTAAAACATTTCACGCTGTATTTTGTGCCCTGAGCAGACTTTTTTTACCTGCTAGTGACCTTTCAGAAATAATATGTTATAAGCCCACTTATTTAGTAACTATGACACAAGGGGATAAACCCAACGTAAGGCTAAGAAAAACAGTATTTCAACATAGTTAAGTGGATCTACCTGCGGGCAGTGTCATATTCGGAGGCACTACGCGAAAATTACAAGAAGCAACAACAACATTGCAAAGACAAAGGCAGGTTTCGTCTGCTCAGTGCATTTCGGGTGCCTGCGGTACCTGCCGAGACGGCTGCGGTGACCGCCCCGCCCGGCTCTGCCCGGCTCTGCCGACGGGGCGCACGGACGGTCCCGCCACCGCCCCGCGGGGCTCCTGGCCAGGCAAACCCCGAGCCCCGGGGCAGCCCCGAGCCCCGAGCCCGCCGTGCCGGAGCGGCCCGGCCGGGGCGGTCACTCACCGCTGCTGAGCTGCTGCCCGAAGGCGGCGGGGGCGGCGGTCCCGCGGCGAGCGGCGGGCGGCGAGCGGCAATCCCAGCGCTCGTGTCGGAACTGGCTGCGGCACTCCTGGAGGCCCAGGCGCGCTCCCTCCCGGATCGCGGGCACCAGCTCCGGCTTCTGCTCGCACAGCTCCTGCTGCCGGCGGCTCAGCGGAGGGCTGGCGCAGCCCGGTTTCTCGGGCCCGCCTGCGGCGGCGATGCCTAGCCACCTGCGGAGGCAGCTTCCCGTCAGCGTCGGACCCCGACGGACACGAGGGACGGGCTCCGCGCCGCCCTCCCACCCTGACCCCGCGCCCGGTACTCACATCCAGGTGCTGCCGGCGGCGGGGCAGAGGGCGAGCAGCAGCGCTGCCCGCAGCAGGCACGGTCCGAGGGGAGCCCCGCGCCCCATGGCAGCCGCATCAAGCCCCGCCGCGCAGCCGGCCCTGCCCGCGGCCCGGCCCAGGCAGCAGGGACCAAGGGGGGCTGTACCCAGGGGCTAGCGGTACTATGCACCCGGGTCCCTACTCGGGCTTCTCCCCCTCGAGGGACAGGGGGCAGCTGGCGCGGCGAGCCCCGGCCGTCGGACGGCCCTCCTCGGGAGGTTGGGCTGGCAGGGAGGGACACATCGGGAGCGCTGGGTTCCCTTCAAGGTGAGAAAGTTGCGATTGATGTTTTCCCCGTCTCTTTCCTCGGTTCTGCCTTCCCGCCCGTGCATTGGCCGCCCGGGGCCCGGGGCGGGCCGGAGCGGGGGCGCGGCGAGGGCTCCGCTCCACAAAGCGCAGCTCCACGAGGCTCCGCTTTGCTGGGCGCTGCTCTGCACGGGCCCGCACGGCTCCACACGGCTCCGCACCGCCCCGCACCGCCCCGCACCGCTCCACAAAGCATGGCTCCGCACGGCCCCGCACCTCTGCGGTGCTGCCGCTTGGGCTGCGAGGCGCCGAGAGCGACTGCGGGGGTTGTAGCGGGGTCCGGGTGCGGCAGAGCGGAAAAAGGAGGGCGAAGGAACCCGTAGGTCCATGAATTTAATCCACAGAAATGAGAGAAATGTTAATATATCATAACATTCCCTATACTTTTTATTCATTATTATTTTTATTTAGCAGTATTAGCTAAGTCAGCATCAGTATTCATTAGGACAGCATTTGTTAATTCTTGTTAACTTCAGTGAGACGGTCTTATCAACTGCTGCCTCTCTTGCTAGTCGTTAGTTACACATTAAAAGTCAATGAGTCAGCTAGCACCTGATGGAGAGCTGGCGTTGGCACTCTGGACTTTCAAGTCCTCTTTGATCACAATATATTGCTTTCTTCTGTGTAAGCAAAACACCTGCACTAAAAATAATCTGGATAAAATGACAGATCTGTAAAACTTTAATTTGACACAGTTGTAAATTAGAGAGTGAAATAGCTTTTGTGGACTGACAACAGCTCCAAGTGAAGCACACAATAAATCATCTTAATGACAAATGAACATTTTTAAGAGTACAGTAAGTTGGGAAATAATCACATAGATGTGCTGTTTTCCTTGCCTTTTTCCCCATGAATGTGCAGAGATGTTTTAAGAGCACAGTCTGTGGTCTATTTAGATCTATAAAATGATTCCTCCTTCCTACTTCATGCTTATGTATCTGCTCTCGAAGCATCTCCAAAGTATCATCAACTCTGGGCAGATTGCTAATGACTCCACTAGTTATTTAAACCTTTCAATATATTGTTTACTCTGTTCTGGATTTTAGTCTAGAGAACATCTGCTTGTGGTTGCAGACCAGAGTGAGGGACATTGTAACACCGGGAACCAGCCATGAAACAGGCCTGAACCAGCCAAAATGTGTGGGTTGTGTCAGAGAATTATCTAATTATTCCAGGACACATGGTTCATTTTATCCTCTTTGCTGCTTCCTGGCTCTATCTTTTAAAGTAAATTCAAAGCCTTGGTCAAGCAGATATGGATTCCTTATGCACTGCTCTATGAATTTATCATCCACTCTGAAATTATTTTTATAAATAAACAAGTTTATTCTCTGTGGTTGTTTGCTTTGATTTTGTTGTTGCTGGTTTTTTTAAATTATTTTTAATTTATTAACATTAATATGGATCTTTTGGTTCTAAATTCGTATATGTGAATTTTTCTATAGAAGCTACGGAATCATATGCAAAGAGCAATGCAAGATTTAAATCTTAAAAATATTGATTTCAAAAATTCCAATCCTATTTGTAGGATTTCATATATGTATAATTGTATTATTTGTATTTGTATAATTTCATATGTGGCCCCTGAAATAGCTAAATTACCTTTCTTTCTTACCTTTGGGTTCTCCTGGGGATCTGATTTTATGTAGGTTTTTTGCTACAATTATCTTTATGTAGTTAGAGAAATCCTTTGATCGTATACACTGTAAAATGAAACACTTGTAATTTGAAGGGCTGATGCTAAACAAAAAAAATTATTTATTGCAAGAGACTTCTTGAGATCATCCAGTTCAATCTCTAGCAGTGACTGGAAGCAAACTACATTTTTCCATAACCATCTGATTTTAAAAAGTTTGGGTTACTATGTGTTTGAATCCTGATCTCCCATCTGCCTTTCTTCCCATCTGTTTCCCTTACGACCACTCCCCTGTTGCTGTCACAGCCAAATTCCCCACCAAATCCCCATCCTTCACCTTTCTCCTGCATTTTAGCTTCCTGCCTGGTATTTACACCATCTCTCTGCTTTATTCCCTCCAGCAATGCTCTCTTCCCCAGGCAGAGGCAGCCCATACAGTAATGTTTCTGCTGCTCTAGAGCTCTGTGTCTACATGCAAGTCAGTTGGCTAGCAAGAGTGGAAGGGAAAACACTACTTTGCACATTATGTGCTTTGTAAGCCTGCAAGGGAAACAATTTAGAAATGTTTTGCTGATCTACCAATTTTTTTTTTGTAATTTGCCAAAGCTTTCTGAAGGCTGTAATCCTAATTCACTGATGCTTCAGAGCCCTCTGTGCTGGAAGACCATCACAGACAGCAACATGAGTGGGATGTAGAGAGAGGGAAGCAGAATCCAAGCCAAGGTCAAGTGCCAAGCTTCAGTGAACAAAACTTGCTATAAATCAGGGAAGATAAATTTGACTTTCTGCTTATCTTGCTTTCTCTGGCTATGGTGGCACTGTCTGTGGCCATTCATACTAAAATGCCCACATTTTTTATTTTAAAAAGAAGAATATCAAATGTTGATAAAAGAAAAATAAAAGGAAATATGTCTAAGTAGGTTTGTATTTCTTGATGGGACATTTATTAATTCAATATTTAACGAACATTAATGTGATCTTGACAGGGTCAATTACATACATATATATATACATATATATATGATTCACTAATATATAAAGAAATACTCTATTGTGCAGAATCTGTGTGAATAAGCTTCACTTCACAGATAATGTGCTTCAGATACAGACCAATTATCTCTTTAAAAAGATAGTGCCTAGTGCTTTCACTATAATCAAGATTTGCTGTCTTATTAGATGCAAGTACGTACAAAGGTGACTTCTCCTAAACAAGTCACCCCTTTTGAAAGCTTTATTCAAATTATCTTCCTTCTCCTGAACTTCTGATGCCCATCAGAGCCATAAATATAACAGAACAAACTGCATTATCCTACCTGTACATAAAATGGGGTCATTATCCCCTTATCTTATGAAAATGAACAGAGGAAAACATATATCAGGTTTAGCTATGACATTTATCACACGTGGTGACCAAGCTCAAAATCTGCACTTCCAACACAAAAAGCATGCTTACAATCTCCCTCAGTGCTTGGCTGCATGATGTGCCATCATTCTGGGAATGGCAGACACGCCAAGTCTTTGCCTCGTTGGCAAAATAGTGGTACCCAAGCAGAGCCATTGCACCGTGGGGATAGTGAGAATACTGCACCCTCAGTGAGAAGGGACTTGAGGAGAGATGTGCAGACTCCCTGGACTTTGGGGCAAGGGTCCTCATGCACTTGGTGCAGTGCTCCCTCACTGTGCAGCATCTCTGTCAGGGGATTGTCTGTAGAGAAGTCTTCAATAAGAAGTAGAAGGAATGTTAGGAGAGGAAAAGAGAGATGCCCCTTCTGCCTTACCTGGCCCTCAAAGATCCCTCTGCCCCTTTTCCAGAGGTTTAACATTATTGCTGTTATTCATTTTACTATTTATACCTGAAAGTACACACTGCTGTTGATTCAGACATAGCATGCTGAGTTCACAAATGACTGGGACAGCAATTAAAGTGCATCCAGTAGTGACGCATTGTCAGGTGGAGGCCTCACATACAGACCTCACAAACATGTAATGATTCCAAAGCTACTTCTGAATACTATGTTTATAGTAGCTACAAAACACAGTATACAGAACCACCTTTTCTATGTGCAAGGATATATTAAAAAAGAGAGAAGTAGTTTCTGGAAGGTGAGGAAAGAGTAGGCATTCTTCTCACAATCCCTTCTGTTCTTGCCAAAGGATCCAGAAAAAACTAAGCTTTCTGGAGCCCATAACTTCAGATAGTTGCTGAATCAATTGCTAAGCAGGTCTTCTGGCAATTTACATCTATTGGTGATGTGCTGCCAGAAAGCTGGGGCTTAGGAAGAGAGGACTCAGTCTGACTTTTAGAGTATGATGTTTCCTGTGGTCACAAATCTGGAAGTAGTGTCCTGGGCTTACCTATATTTATATGAGCACTTGAGAATTGTTCATTTGTATTTGATAGCAGTGCACATTTGTGGTGTGAATGAATTTCCCTGGTTGTTTTGAGGATGATGAGAAATGCTCTTGGAGACAGGACATAATGAAAAAAGGATTTTTTTTCTGACTTAAAGTTTGCGTAATGTTTTCTTTGTACTTAAAGCAAAATAATTCAATTTTTTGTTGTTTTTTAGATCAAGTGTATGAGATTAGAGTAGACACTACTGGCTGGTGTTGCAGAAATTCTAGGTAATTCTAGGTAAGAAAGTAATTATGTAGTTTGGTGAAAAGAGTAGCTCAAGTGCATGGAAGAATCCAAATTACTTCAGTGCAGAGGGGACATTTGGAGGTATTCCTTATTTAGTTTCAAATCAGACTCCCCTAAGGATGTAACACCACTGCTTTGTTGATGTATGTGTAAGCTTTATACAGAAGTTCCTGAGATAAGCAGGATAAGGCACTGTGTGTGTGTGCTCATGCATGTTCCTGGTATACCCAGAAGCAGCATGCTTGCTCCCAGAGAGGTCACTGAATTTTAGGTATAATACAGGTAGAGAAAGGAGGAAGAATTGCTCCCCTAGGAGCAGTGCTGTCTACAACTCAATTATGTTCCTGCCCCAACTGGTAATTTGCATTAACACTTTCCACAGGACCCTTTCACAGATGATTTTGTTACTTCTCCTAGTAGAGACTTGATTCACACACACG